CATCTCACCGTGTCTGAATTTATCATACAGGTAACAGCTGGTGGCTGTTTAAAACGGCAATAGAAACTTAACGTTATTAATGTTACTGCTTGTTGTAGTCTGCAGCAGTATATTTGGCCAACCAAATCTGTTAGGGAGCACTGCTTACTGAAGATAAAGTCCTTAAGTGAATGCTCCCTGTTTGTTTTGCCTGACGTGCTACAGGTGAAGCCAGTGTACAGACACAAATCTGCTAAATATCCTGTGTGTGATGCCCATTGTCAAGGCTAACAACAAAAGATAAAAAATAATTTACAGCAAACTTGTTATTCACAGAAAGATTTCAGTTTTTTTTATGTACCTGATGGGGGATAACAAATAACAGGAGTGGACTGGGATAATAATTCAGGCCAGGAGTTTGACCTTGTCTCAGCTCACCCTGTCTACATTAACCATTAATTGTGTAAATGCTAAATGTGTCTCTCGTTCTACATTTCACATTCAGTTAAACAGTCACTACTACCGCTAAATTGGTCGCACTCTGGAGCCCTGATGCAGGTCACAGGCAATTGCTGCTTGATTAAAGGAAAATTGTGTCTCCTTCTTACAAACTTGAGTGGAGGGGGGTTGGAGGTGTGCTGCTGGAGGAGAGCTGAGACTTAAGTATGGCAGAGGTGTAGCAAAACTGCAGTTTGTTTTAGTTTCATGATAGCGCTTAAGGGCGACATCTACTGGATCAAAAAGTTACACATCCTCCCTTTAATCGAGATGCATTTTGGTTTGTGGTGTAGTTAACATACAGTGTTATCATAAAGACAAGAAAAGTTATATTACAATTACTTTTTCCGCCTATGAAATTTTGGTCCATAACTCTGTCTGCACATTATTATTTTTCTAGCTGGTCCTGTCACATAGGGTTGGAACATCTGCCCTTCCCTGACAATTAACAGGAAACTTATCACAATGGGGAATAATGTCATCCAACCCAAACCTGTCAGGGCTGGTGTGTTTGGCATGCGTTTATTAATTTCACTAGGGAAAGTTGTAGGTCTGCATCTTTATTTTATCACTGTCAGCAGTCTAGATGATTGTTCATGCAGTTAATAATTGGTTAATAATAAGGCTTACTAAATAACCCTTTCAAAAAGCCTGCTTACTATGGTGTAGGCAGCTTATGAGCAAAAGTTGAGTATTTAGCTCTGCTAAGCACGTATAATGAGAGGATAGCATTTTGGGCAACAATTGACCCTTGGTATTTGATTTGTTAATGAACCTGGCTATGTTTCCCAGAACTCCTTACTTCCTCCCTTGTCTTTCCCTTCCATCAGTTCTGTAGCTATCTCTATTTTACAAGAAGTGCTAATTTGTGTGAATCACATAATTTAAGCTTGGCTTTTACTTTGCTTCCTTAAACAGAGGGGTTCTGAAGACAAGAGAGCTTAAGCTTTCAGCTCATTCAGCTACAGTCACCAGTGTTACAAACTACATTTTCTACCACCACAGCAGTCCTGTATGATCTCAACTGTCTTCAGCTGCTGTTCATCCAGAGCAGTTTTACTGGCTGTGACATGGGAGTCTTGCAGAAGGAGGGGAGTCAGTTGAAGGACAAAGTTATCTTATTGGGTTCAGAGGATACAGTGTCACCCCCTGCATTCCCAGGACCCGCAGAACAGGTTCTGCCTCTTCATGTTCGCATGCTGTTACCTGAGAAGTCAGAATAGGCCATTGAGTGAAGGGTCACACTGGATATTGTGCTTCAAAATGCTTTTCAACCAAACCAAAAAGTCGGTCTTAAACAGACAGCAGGAAAAAAGCAGATCTCGGTCAGTAGATAATTATTGGCACAGTACATTGTTTGTAATTGACAGTTCATACAAAATATTCTAGTCCTCACTCGCTGTAATTTATCCTATTATAGTTGTAACTGCTTTTATTTACTAGAATAGCTTCCTCAGAGATATCTGAAGTAGTAACCAAAGGAACCAATTTATTAACCCTGACAGTTCTTGTGTAAGTCGCATCACACAAATTCCTATGTAAAGTTAAATTGTTTATTCATTTTGACACAGACACTGACATAATTTATTCACACTTGAGAGAAACCTTTTATGACAGATACACATTGAATTTCAGATTCTGACTGTCTTTGTTTTACTTCTACCACTGGGAGGCTTATCACTGTCTTGTTAGCCTTTTCCATGAAGGTTAGAGTCCGAGACCCTTGCTCCCTGTCAGATGGTCTGATTTTATTTATTTATTTTTTGTTTCCCCCTTAAGACTCTCCTTCTATCTGTCATGCTCCAGCGGCTGGTTTAGGAGCAGATGGGGAGCAGTGAGTATGAAGGCTGGAGTACATAAGATGGCCCTGTGAGCAGTGTGTGCAGCATGATATATAAAAACTGACCCACCCTCCAAATACTGGAGCACTCTCAGTGCATTCTTTCGTGTATTGAGTGACAATTCTGTTAACTGGAAAATGTAACATCAAATTAATGTTGTTCGCAATGAAAAAGTATCACAAAGGGAAGATAATATGTTAGCCATAACTGTAGTGTCAGTTGACCATTACTTAGAGCTGGGAAATTAATCGGAAATTAATCGAAACCAACATTCAGAACCTCTAACCAACGTAATTTTGCCCATGTCGATTATTTTTAAAACTTAGCACAGTCTCTACTTTTACCTGATCTTCCGCTAATTCATCTTCATTATCTTTGCTTTAATCTCAGGGTAAATAAGTCATCTGAGTATTTGTCACATACTTCATCATTCCAGCACTCCCCATGAGCTGGACTGCCTCTGGGAGTCATCCAATTTGCCATGTGGCGGTAGAAAAAAATGGCAACAGAAGGTGAATCTTAATTGCTGTCATTGTGCCAGAGCTCCTCCTGGCCTAGATTTGATTTTTCAGACCAGGCCTATCTCATTACCACAGTACTAGAAGTGTGTCAAATGAAAGCATTAAATGAAGACTTTTTGCCAGTGCCAGTTTTTTAGTGTCTCTACATGTACCACCAAATTCCCTCATTAATTATTGCTGCTACACCCCAAGGCAATCAGTGAACCTAAGCATGGCCTTGATCCAGACCACACTTCTTCTTACCCAAATGACCACAAGAGATAATCCCCAAACTCATGCAAGCTCAGAACAGTAACTATCACAACTAACTTATTGAAAATTCCCAAATAAACAGTCATCAACATATTGTAGAGCAGCGTCTAAAACATGGAGTGGAGTTATTTCTGCACAACTGTTGAACATAAGTTCAGTAGCATATTGGTTAAATCAAGATGTGTTGTTCCACAGACATGTTATATCGTGCTTCTCTTGGTCATTAACTGTGTAAAGGAAGACCAACTGTATACATTTAAGAGTAATCATTTTTCCATCATCACACCATCAACAGATAAGGGATGGTAAAGAAGTCTTAACACTCTTGGATAGATTGTGAACAGAATGGATGACAAAGTGGTGTATCAACTTCAGTGTGACAAGCCTAGTGCCACTCATTTCTGATAAAGGTAGCTGTAGCTCTTTTGACAAAGGGATTCTGCAACAGCAATGTAACAAAGCTCCGCTGTCTACTGAATGTGTACTTTTACACTGAAACCCACAAGAGCATAATATTTGTTGTCCACGTGAGGGATTTAGCACAGCGTTGGAGCGTTGCAAAAGCAATAGAGGTTTGACATACAAACATTAGACACATACACACACACACAGAACTCTCTGTACTGTCTGCTCCGCTGTTTACAGAGATGCGGTTTAGCCTCTGTTACTATATTGATTTGGCCCCACCATTTTGCACGCTGCATTTTACAGTTGACGCTGTGTAATAGTCTTGGAAATGTGAAAGGGGCTTGTCTTTTCTTAGATATGAACGCCAGCAGCACTACATATATATATATTTTCTCTAAGTTTACATTCAGTGGCATATTTGCTCAATGAATAGTCAGGTTCTGTAGCCACAGCATTTATGAGCGCCGTGCTCTGATGAATGGATTAATGTGATATCAGACAGACTTTTCTTGTAGTTTGGTCATGTTAAATGAGATCCTTTGTTCCCTTTCCACCAGCATCAAATTAAACTTTTCCACCTTCTCATACCACACCCTGTGATGTAACGGCTGTGCATGCTATAAACTGTCTTTAAACTGTCTGTTCCTCGTGTCGGTGCTGAGTTCGGGAAAAGAGCATTCAGTTTTGATGCTCCCTCTGCATGGAACTTTCTCTAAAAGGACTTGAAAATGGCAGATCTCTATTCGCTTGAAGCCTTTGGCTTGATATTAAAAGTCAAAAAACAAAAGACAATTGGACAGTGTCTGGGTTTCTGAATTGTAATCACCACTCTGCACTTTATCTGTAAACCAATTTGCACATTGTAATTGAGGTTTTCTCTTAACTTGTTGTTTGTAAACTGTCTCTTTATCATGTAATGTTTACTATGACGTGTGCTGCTGCCCTCTTGGCCAGGTCCCCCTTGTCAAAGAGATCTTGAGCTCAATGGGTTAATTACCTCGTGAAATAAAAGTTACATTTAAAAAAAAAAAATGCTTACATTGCAAGAGCACTGTAAACGATTTATTCTGCAGCCCTTATTGCAGGTGTGGGCCTGAGTGAAGAATAGAAGAGAAGCAATTTGACTTACAGTCCAACAAATGTAAACTGGAAAACAGGAAGCGATTGAAAAGAGATCTGTGCAGCAGTGAAGTTCAACATTGTCACTTCTAAATGAAAAAGAGAGCCATTTAGCAGCTTTAATGGATATTGATGTATTATAAGCCTCTATATAATCATTTATTGATTATTTTAGAGAGTGCTTTGTTGTAATGTCTCATTTAACTGTAATGCAATAACACATTTTCAGTATGAATGTGATTTCAAGATATATTTGTATAAACTTAATTGCCCTGATTCAGATTGGATCCATATCCCAACAACGAGGACTTTTGCTGTCTTCATTTATTCAACTTATTTTAATAAGATTGATTTTAACAAGTGTTTCTTTTTTCCCCCACAGATGTCATTGACAAGAGTGAACTGAAGGGGTTCTTTGAAAGCAACTGTTCTCAGATTTATTTTATCTTCTATGAAAGTTTCATCACACTGGAAAGCAACTTAAAACAAAAAGGTGAGTACAAACTGTTTGTCTTGTTTGTGTCCTGCACACTCAGTCATCTATCATCATTTCTGGTTCAATAATTAACCCTCTCCCTGCTCTTTATGGAAAGTGTTTCTTCTAGGGCTTTTATTACCCTCTGGCCCCACATAGTATACAGTGTTGTGAGCATAAACTCATAGAGAGGACATTTCTATAAATGCCTAGTATAACTCTGTGTTCAAAGTACGTGGGGCAGGGTATTAATTCCCACAGGGAGTATGCTATCCTGGTAACACATATTTCTATTTATACGTGTTCAGCAAATGGCCTATATTAGCATTACATTATTGGTGAGGCTAATGTGATATAACCTCTGTTATATGTTTAAAAACCTTAGTATTTTCATTATCTTTCAGGGAACAAATCTCAAAGGGAGGAGCTGGACTCTATCCTCTTTATTTTTGAAGTAAGTTGTTTGTGTTTTTGATGTTCTGTTGCTTGTTATCGTAATGAAATTATGTTAAACTGGGTTTGCCCAGCAAGAATAAGGAGAGCAGCATGACAGTGTGCACATAGGGCTTGTTAGCCAATGGGTGAAGGTCATCTACTTAGTGAAAGCCTATGGTAAATTTACACATTCAAACTTCTGGAGACACTGTGCACAGACATGTGTCTTTTATCTTACACTGATGGTGTCTTCAGCCTAAACAGTTTTCTGTTGAACTCTGGGTTGGGACTATTGTTTCCATGGTGCATAGCTTTAAGGTAATTTCTTAGTGACCTAGGTGTGTATGCAAATCATGGGACAGATGTATTGTGTCTGTGTGTGGAAGGTATTGTTGGCTTTGTGGCCCCTCCCTGTGTTTTTCAGAACACTCTAATGTTGCACATGCAGGTTAAAGTCCCTTACCTTTTTTCCCCACCTGACTGCACAGGCGGCTCCAGTTTCCAATACAAACAGCCAGATCTCCGGTTACATTTGCTCAGGGCAGGGCTGCAAGAATGGCAGCAGTTTGGGGGCCAGTCTGTTTGTCCCTCTTTGTACACTTTGTCTTGTCCTAGTTTTTCTAAACACCTGCAAGCACTGTGTGGAGGTAAATGATGAATGGTAAACAGACTTCTTCTGACTACTCAAAGCGCTGATAACACTGCAGGTCACACTTACCAATCCACACCCAATCACACACTCTGATGGCTTTGTAAAGTGTCCATCAGTATTAATAATCCATTCATGCACATTCACATGCCGCTGATGAAGCAGTGGGAGCAACTTGGGGTTAAATGCTTTGCCCAATGACACATTGGACATGACACGCAGGAGCTGGGGATCTAACCCCCGACCTTCCGGGTTGAGAGACGACCGATTCTACCACTGATCCACAGCCGCCCAATTCTTCCTTGCCTTCCTTGCATTACGTCCAATATAGAGTAAATCATTGTTGGCAGTTTGGATTCAGGCAAAATGACCAACTTATGTGAGAGTAACCTTAGCATCAGTCCAGACTCTATTGTTTATCTGATACGGATTCCTGCTTGTCAGATATGTCTGCAGATAAGCAGACAGCACAATTAGACTTGTTTCTAATGGTATCAGGTAACATAATTTTCTGTCTAAGTGGGACTTATTGTTTTTTATTAATGCGTTTAAGTGCGTTAATGTTTATTATTAATGCGGTTAAGTGCGCGCATTATGTTGATGGCCTTCTTTGAGACTCAGGTCAGTCTTAGTAAAATTTATACAAGTTAGAATTCTGACTGTTACTTTGCAGTATGAAAGATAACATAATCATTTAATTAAAGGAGCATTATGTAAATCTTGATACGTAGCTTTTACAGTTGGTACTGCAGTCCATATTAAAAACATTCAAGAGAGCTGTTCCCCGACGCCCACTCCTCCCTGAGTCAATGTGCACGCAGGTCGCTATGTCGTGGACACTGAAGCTTCAGTGTTTAATCAGCTCAGCATCAGTCTTGAAACCTTTCTGCATTCTAACCTCTCTCTATTCTCTCTCTGTCCGAGTCATCTTTTCAAAAGCACAGAGCTTATTAGGAAAATGCTGGGGCTTTTTAGGTTGGGTAGAATCTGTTATATCTGAACCAATTCACTTGGACGCTTGGCCGGGCACATCGAAAGGTGTCCAAAATGGCCATGTGGGGTTTGTCTTAACCGCCTACTTCTCTGGTCAAAACAAAAACAGACTATTTCTCACCAGAATCAAAACTCAGAAGGAGGACATACTTGCTACTGCGTTGTTGACAGAGAAGCCAGCACTTCAACATAGCATGTTCCTTTAATGTCTGATGATATAGTAAGGTCATTGAATGATTTAATTCCGTAGATATATTACATATTGGACCTTTAATTACATTTGTTTATTAAGATTTGTTCTCCCTCTCAGTTTAATGACACACTCCCTCCACTCTTCACCAACACACCTTCCTTGTCCATCCAAATGTACCCAGTCATCTAACCTGTGAATAAAGCCTGGATTTATGCCTCCTACATATTTATGGAGTCATCTTTTCAAAAAGAACTAACATTGAAAGCAGCTTAACCCTCATTTGTCCCCTTTTAGCCCCTGCCTGTGACGTTGTGTGCTCTTACCCGTGCACTGAGAAGATAAGCTCACTTTGAGCGCTGTGTACAGGACAGATACAGAGTTCCTTTGATCCAGAGCACTTATACTCTGTGCAGACATTACCTTATGCAATGTTAGATTATTCATGCTTGATCATATGTGTTCGAGAATATGATATCATTGGCTATATTATACAATTAATCATGGAACCGTAGAGGCTGTATTATGTAACACAATGAAAGGACAGTTAAAGATGAACTATACAATATGATGAGGCATGTGGATTTTATGTACATTTACATTTTCTCCTCTCCAACAACAGTCATGAATGAATAGCCCATTAGAATTTAAATTGATGGCATTGTTATTATAAACCTACATTTTCAATTTACGATAGGACTTTTCACTAAAGTGTTTCTATTGTTTTAGTCACAGAAGTTGAACAATCACAACAGCAGTGTGTAAAGTAGACTACGAATGGAAAACAGCCATGACAGCGCAGTGTGCATGTCTCCTGTTTGTGTGTTTGATTTGAGATTGCTATGTTAGGATTACATTTCTATCATTATAAGGTATGTGACCCCCTTTTTACTGGGTAGCTGTGGGGGAGTATGAGCCTTGATGCTTAGCCTGCTTTAGTCATATATATCTAGAGGAGGGGATCTATTTCCCTCCCCCTAAACTCTGCTGGAAGACCCCACCCCCACCGCCACCTGCAGCCACCGCCATCCCCTTCCCAGATCTCTTTGTGTCTGCTGCCACCAAGGCATTCACCATGCAGCGTAAGCTTGTGCACCAGAGCTGGCAGAGAGACAGAGCCCTTAACTCTATGAGAAGGCAACATTTATTCTTACCTTCTTTCACTTTTAACTTATTCATTTTATTATAGAAAAAGGTTCATTTTCTTATTTCAAATTTGGGGTTTCATTGTCTCATTGATTTTAAATGTGAAATGACTGCATTGCGTAACACTTCAACCACCCATATTTTGACACACCTAAATCATCTCTGCCACTTCTAATTTTTTTTAGAAGTTGAATATCAAGTTCATGAAGACCTGTGGGTAATCCGGGTGTGACAAGTGACTGTAAAAGAAATACACGTGTTTATAAAACTGCCAGTTAGCCAGTTCCCTGGGGAAAAAAAACAAGCTCATGCAGGCAAGGGAACAAATTCAGCAAGCAAAGACAGAAACAAGAGTAGGAAACACTTTACAAGTTAGTCTTTATTCTTAACACTCATAGAAAGTGTGAAAACATTGAGCAGGTGTAAATCTACCTACCTTAAAACTAAAGCTTAGGTTGCATACGTAAGGTGAGGCAACCACAAGGTGATTCTGAGTCCCTTTTCACATATGCACTCCTGAAAATCTCTTCAGAAATGAAGGAGGACGACCCCTTGAATAGAAAGAATAATGCGGAAGTAACGGACGAAGAAACACTCTGCTATATAGCGCTATAATGAGAGTATTTGTCTTTTTATCAATGCTTTGTGTAGTTAGACAGAATCAAAATGTCAAGAAAAGAGCAGAAAAGACTTGCGACCAGAAAACATGAAACAGCTGTTCAATTATGTGCATGGAGATTGCAACGGCCCTGTGCTTTACAGTCTATGGTCATGCACAGATCACATGGAATAAACATCACAACCCCCCTCCCACTCGCTTGAGGTGAATTCTCCTGATGATATCCTGCTGCGTTGTAACATCAGCTGACTCAGGCTTCATGCGGAACAAAATACTAGGGGCCTGGCAGGAGAAACTTTGGATTAAGTCTGATTTGAAAAATGTGGCTATTTGTGATCACACATGCTGCTCATCCTAAAAACCTTTACAAGTTTTTCAGGAGTTTTGTGAAAGTGTGAACACGGCTCGAGAGAGAGAGCTAGAGTGGGCTTATACTTTGGTGAGAGTCATTTTGTGTTAAAAAAAAGTGAAAACGGAAGAGCAGCAATTAGAAAGCCTCCTCTGAGTGAAAACATTTGTAAGAAGGCAGACTCTAAAGGAATAAATGCTCCGTTGTAATAATAATACTGAAGCTTTTTTAAATATAATAGTAAGTACTGTGTTTAGTAAAACAAGTACAATGATAACATATGAGCAGTGACAAATAATTCCTACCACAAATCAGCATGCTGGTGATAACATCATGCTGTGAAGAGGCTGTAACAGGACCTGGCAGGCAGGTAGCGGGTTTAGTCACAGAAAACTCCTGGTGGGCAGTGCATGCAAGAGAACTCCGACGTGCAAGTGTGAAGACCAAGACGAATACAAAAGTCGATTTGTCCCTAAGTAATCAAATCTGTGTTCAGACATCAGCCCTTTGAAGGATTTTTAGACTAATGCAATAAAGTTATTTGTGCTATTTAGTATTGGAGTTCCCTTCAGTTTTGTTTTTCTAGTTAGCTTCAGAACTAAAAGTGCTTTGAGAAAACGTTGTTGTCGGTTGGACAATGTCTGTGGTTCTTTTACAACTGTTTTTGTAACGGAGTCAAGATGCATTCAAACTATGCATGTGTCAAATCAAGCTGCTGTTTCGACAAATTGCCATTTGAGACAGACACTTCAGTGAATGTCTAGGTGTGCTTCCAGAAATGAAACCTCATGAGACCACTGTGTAATAGAAAACATGTTTTTCTTATTTGTGTCACAGGACCAGATTGGTCTGGCCTAAAGCGACCCTGGTTTGTTTACACTCCTGTGTGGCTGTAAATGACCTCTTGCTGTCTGTAAGCATTTTGATACTGGTGCCACTGAGGTTATGGGACAGGTTATGGGAAGCTTTGAGACATATGAAGCTCACAGGGAAGTCTGTGCACAGATTCTTTCTCTCCAGGATATGACCTTAGGATGACCTGTCGTCCCTCATCCGGACCTGAATCAGCATTTTGAATTCCCCTTGGCATCCTCTCTGTAAAAACCCAGCATTTAGACCTGAGACTTAACCCTCTTAATTGCCTTTGGGTAATTCTTCATTCAACAGTCATCATTAAACCTACTTAACGTTATTTTTGATGGACTGTTGTGAAATAGCTGTTGTTTATTTGAAAACTGCAGAAAATAATAGGCATGGGAATTACTTACTTTTTATTTATGCTAGAGTCAGGAATCTAAGATGTCCACTGCCCAACATTATGTTTCTAGTTTGAGAAAAACATGTCAGAATCACAAGAACGTACACGCACGCACACACACACACACACACACACACACACACACACACACACACACACACACACACACACACACACACACACACACACACATTTGGATAGGAAAACTACAAAGGAGAAAAGGTGGCTTTAAGCACACATTGCTTTTTTAATTATATTATATATATTATAATTCATTCTATGGGTTTGCATTTTCCCAGATTTCCAAAAATCTAGCATTCAACAATGATGACAACTACATGTGAGTGAAATATTATTATCTACCAGCCATAGCTCATGGCAAATACAACTAAATGCTCATTTATTTAAATGCCATTCTGAAATGCACCATTAGAGCCTGGTGTAAATAACAGTGGATAATTAGTAAGTAGTTAATTAATAGCACAGTCTTGTTCTATCCGGTTGAAAGTAATTGTACTCCTTTTGATGTACATAAGGTTGTAGCTGCTCTCTACTTGTTTGCTAACTTTTATTAAAATGAACCATAGGGCTAAGTGATTTCTTCCTTGCCTCCTCGTTATGCAGTGCTTGTTATGATTGGCAGATTATCAACAGGGGGCTAAAGCCAACAGAGTAAATTCATTTTGAGTTCTAAGGCTATATTTTAGCCTCTGCTACCAACTTCTGGGGCACATTTGATAGAATGTGTAAGAAAAGTAACTTATTGACACTTGAATATATTTTTACAGGTGTAAATTTTAGTTTAGCTTTCAAGTTTCTAAAATGCAACATGCCTATTAATGAATAATTTTCAATGAATTCAAAAATTGTCCTGGAGGAGCTGCTACAGCTTGGCTGAAATGCTACAGTATAAAAAGGTGGCTGTTCAGTGGCAGTTGGATGCATGGGAAGGACTTTGAATGCTCTGATGCTGCCACCAACTGGTTACAGAGGAGAATGAAAATGTCTTAAGGGTTGTTGTTTTTTTTTTATCATTCTTAAATAAATGTTAAAAAGGGCTTTTGGCTTATGATATTCTATTTGAGAGTTTATTCAATATATATTGTCTGTGTAAATTGACCAATTGACTTGACTAACAAATAATGAGACCAAGCTAAGAAATTTGCTTAGCATGTAAATAAGCACTCTGGTTGGCTCTGGCTTTTCTGTTTGACTTACCCTTTTATGCATGTTTAAACAAAGCAGGTGTGCAGAGATGTTTGTCTTAAAGGGTTTTTGATGCCTACAAGTGACTTTAGAGTTGAGGTCTTATTTTCTTTGTCAGGTTCTCAGGGGTATGGTTATTTTAGGATGTTGCTTTTAGGGCAAAGTTATTATTTTTTTATAAAATGAATCCAATAAAGGTCTTTTTTGCGTTTATTGGATATGACAGCTGAAGGGAGACAGGAAATGTTGGGAGGAAAGAGTAGGGGAAGACATGCAGCAAAGGGCCGAGGTTGGATTTCGAACCCACGTTAGCTGCAATGAGGCACTCGACTTAACCTCTAAGCTATCGGCACTCCCATTTAGGAAGTTTAAACTTAATGACGTTATATTATTTCCTTCCCAACATTATCAAATCTGTCTGTTAAGTGATTTACACACTCTCTGATGAGGACACGTATGTCTGGGTGGGTCTCAGTTGGATTTATTTTAGAAGGTGAGAGTTTTGTCTCCATTGTCTTTTTTTCCCTCAAGAGATTACATTGTCCTCAGATGATATTTTAATCTCTTTATCAAAAACCTAAACACTATGTAAATTACTAAAAAAAAATCTTTAAATACTGTATGTCTGTTGCTTCTGCCATAAAGCCCTTGCAAGACCACCTCTTGGGGAAGTGTATTCTGTGGCATGATCAGGGCCTGCGACTGGAAACCTAAGTGCGGATCATGTAAATGTGTTAAGGCTGTAGTTGCACCACAGTAATGCCCCAATCTTTATGCTGGAGTATGGCTGCAGATTAGAGTAACTCCACCAACCCCTCAGTCCATGTATTCGCTTCGTATCAGCCAGTAAATTCCTCATTGTTACTACCGCCATTCCAGCTCCACAGGGAGTCTTTCTGAGCTAGCTTCTCCATCTCATTCCCACTCTCCCCTTCCTGGTGCTCTGTAAGAAGAGAGAAAGACAGTGTTATTGTGTCTGCTCACACACACACACACACACACACACACACACACACACACACACACACACACACACACACACACACACACACAGTGAAAGGCTTATGCTGGACAACCTGCTGTGCTACCCCTAGTATAATGTGTCTGCTGCTCCAAGGAGACTGACTGTGAAGGAGTTCAGTATAGAGCCTGTAGGGAGACGTTATAATCCCATGTGGGATCAAAAGCAAGGTGCAGCCAACGCTTGTACACGCAAATCATCACGTCTGTGGATCAGAGAGAAATTGAACAGCACAGATAGTCATCCAGTGCCCCCTCAAAGTGATGTATGTCTTTCAGTATCTCTGCTGTCACTGATAATAACCGGGATTTACTCTCAGAGGACAAGAATGGAAAGTTAAAGAAAGAGGATGACAAGGAGAGGAGGAAGTTGTTGACAAACTGAGACACTCAAAAGAGGAGATGACTTGTGGGCCACCATAGCTCTCAGCATAATGTGGTGAAATGATTTACAAAAAGAGTTATTAGATGCCGTCTGTCAAACCTCTTCTATTTTGTTACAATCATGTATTTACTTCCAAACAGATCGTTTAGCTCTCTGAAACAATAGAATGAAGTAAAGTAAAAAACGATCTTTTCTGTCATGAACATATTTCTGAAGGTATTAATCATTGCAGTTCTTTTATGACATTTTTGGTCATGCTCTGTATCACTCGCTTTGTTTTCAGACGTAACGGCAGATGAGCTGTGTATCATGTCAGCCAGAGTTGGTTGTGTGGTTGAGTGGGTCAGAGCCTCATACGTAAAGCAGCAAAGGGCAGGCTTGACCTCTACATTGCAATCATGAAGTCTTATTGGGTCAGTGATTATGTTTTGATGAAGAGTGAGCCATTGGGGCGTCATTTGCTAAGTGCACTGACTATTAACTAATCATGCGTGCACGCGCACACACATCTGCTGCCCTCAGCCTTATTTCCATCTCTCTAGAGGGACCCAGTTAACCTGTCGGTGCATTCGAGAATAATGATAGGCTGCTGAAAGGTTAGGGAGCTCTAATTGAGTTGTAAAATGATTGTTGGGGAGGTGATGACATTTCCCATTTCAAAGGGATATGCTGACATGCTAGGCCAAGTAAAGGGTAATGTGTAAGGCTTTTGTGCCGCCTACCAAAACAAAGTCAGCTTTTGTTTTCCTACTGTTTATTCTAGTATCACATAAAGAGAAATTGACTTCAAAACCAACAATTGTGTCCAGTATTTCTTAATTAATGTGTTTTTTATTGTTAAATCCCTTATTGGCTTTCTAAAACATCAACATACAGTTGCAAATGACAAGTTAACAGTGCAAAGGCTTTAAATGTCTTGTCCATAACCTAAATCTAATTGATTAACAAATCATTAGATATCCAATCTTTTTATTTACAAGATTTATAAGACATAAAAAACAACCTTAAACTCCTCAGTAAAACCTAGGGCTGGTCACTACTATGTTAACATTAAAAGAAATCGACTCTTCTCTGACATGTGGCTATTAAAATGGGAATTGCAGTCCAAATTCATAACAGTGGAGAGAGCTGTCTCCACCTGGCCCTAACCTCCCTAGAGTGGATGCATACCTGCAGTGCCATGTCGCGAATACGGAAGCTTCAGTGTTTAGCCAGCTCTGCATCGGTCTGAAAACTTCTGTGTTTTAACATCTCCATTTTTCAAAAGCATCTCCAATATTTATACTAGTTTTAGCACGTTTCTGGTTGTGGAGCTTTTTATAAAAAAGCAGAGGCTTTTTAGGTCTGGTAGAATCAGTTATATCTGAACCAGTTCTCTTGCCCACTTCCATTGCTGCAAGACCTGTTGGTTTGCCGTGATAGCTGGTCACATATCTTGCAACCGTGTCGGGGTGCCTTAAAACCACTTACTTGTGGTCAAAACAAATACATGTACAGACCATTCCGAACAGAAATTCAGCTTGGTGGACATACTGGCTGCTGCATTGTTGTCAGAGAGGCCAGCACTTTGACATAGCATGTTTCCTTAATGTTTGATGCAATAGTAAGTTCATTTTAGGATTTAATTCACTAGATTTCTCTGACATAATGCTCCTCTAATGCAACTTCTCTGTTATTTTCATTGCTGTAATGTGCTTCCCTCATTATAACAAAAACTACTAGTATCACTGAATTTCCTTTGCTCTTTTTTCCTCAGAAAATTCTCCAAAACCTGCCTGAGAAAATCTACAACCGATGGCAGTTTCACAGTATAGGTATGTTTATCGCCGACCAAATTAAATATTTGGCACTTCCTTGAATTCTGCGCTTTGTCTCTCTGTCACACCTTAAAGCTAGTTATGTGCTGTGTATGTTTCTTTCCTCCTTATGGTTCTGTAACCTCTGAGATACACTTCAGGACAAAAACTTGCTCCACTGCCATGCCTAAGCCTTCCATAAGGAAGAGAAAATAATTAGTCGTAGAAGGGGATGCAAATGGGAAATGCAAATGAGCTCTTCATTTGAAATGCAAATAAGTAATTGAATTATGCTGGCATGATTTCTGTCCTACACAAAAAGGAAAACCCTCGCAAGAAGTGATAACCCCAATTATCACTGTTGTTTGTCAGCCGTTGGCAGCAGTGATTCCGGTCTAGATTACTGTTGTAGATTGGCCTTAACCTCAGGCTTATAATTTCAAATATGAAAACTCCTCGGGGGTTGGTTGCCCCAGACATTTTGTCAGTCATGGACAACAAATTATTAGAGCCGCAAGGCTTCCTCTTGGTCTTTCTCTGAGCTCAGACTTTTCTTCTGCGATCATCAGTACTTGTGGCACTGGTCAAGAGGCTGTGCCATCACAGTGTACTTCTGCTGTGAGAAGAATTTGGCAGTAGGCTTGATTGCTTCTTGACATACCTAAGGTCTAATTGAATTCCTAAGAAAACTTTTCTTTCACATTATTTCTATCTTATTGTACCTCTGGAAGCATTTTTGAAAGGTTTTGAGTAGCTTGTTAAAAATTCATTTTGGCTGGTAGGATATGTCAGGAAGCACATTAATGGTTTGTAGTGTCCTTCTCCAGTAGCTAAGTGCATATTGCAAAGTAACTGACATCTGACACTGATCATTAAAAGCTGAAGAAAAGCACTTACACATTTTCTTCCTTCTAATTCCTTATTTCCTGAGCTATGAAAGGTTTTCATACCTTAATACCTTTTACACCTTAATGTTTCCAAGAAAAAAACAAGTATTGATTTAATCTGAGTAGGAAAATGATAAAGGAACCACAAAGCCCACTTATAAACTCCAACACTCAAATCCATCAGACAAACATTCCTCCTTTACTTTAAATCCCTGTAAACACACAGCCTACAACGTCCTTATAAGAACAATTCTGTCTGCAGGCTGTCAAGTTTAGACACAGACTAATTCACAGACACGCAGACCTCTTCCGCCCAAGGTATTTAACAGTCAGAGCAATGTCTCATTTGATTACAGCGGAACCAAAATTGCCTTCATGAATGCACATCACTGCCAACTGGTGTTAATTTTCATCAGGGATATGTGAAGCCTTGCCACTCACCCCACTTGTTTGTCAGAGCAAACCATCAAGTCCAATTGTCTGTAGGAGGGATGATAAGCGAATCCTTCACTGTCAGCTTTGTGCTGCTTGTTGTGTTTTTGCTTGTTGTGTAGAAGACTTGCGTTGTATATGTGGTTTGTGAAAGCTTTTTTCAGTTAGGCTTTTTATTCCTTCTTTCAGGTTCTATTCTAAAAAAGCTTCTACACACTGGAAATTCATTCAAAGTAAGTGCTGTTCATTGACACACGATATGGTAAATCACTGTCATCAATCCCATGAGGCCCGATAATAATAATCGAAATGCTGCAAAATCTGGAAATCCCAAATCATATTGAGCTTTAAAGACTGATTTCATGAATTATTATGTTGTTGAAGTTTCCTGTTTTTTGTTTATATTCTCTATTTTTTTGCTTAGATCCGCTGTGAGGGAATCCGTCTCTTCCTGCTGTGGCTGCAGGCCCTGAGGGACAACTGTGCTGAGGAGCAGTTCCTTATCTTTGCCTGTCTGGTGCCAGGATTCCCCGCTGTGCTCTCCTCTAGAGGGCCCTGCACTCTTGACACTATCATTTACAACCCATTCTCCAACCCCGCTGATGGTGACTATGATGCTCTTCCTTTTGATGGCATAAATTTGAGAACTGTTCTAGATGTCCTTTATGACCACTCTCATCAGAACACAGAGTCTTGGTTTCCTACACCTAACTGCGGTCTTTGTATCTTTTGATCTGAACAGCAAAGGTTGTGCCTGAGGAGATTACTCCACTGCTTCCAGCTGTGGTAGGAGAAAAGGTTGCAGATGACCAGACCTGTTACATCCTTGAAACCCTTCTCAAGTACATGGTCATCCAGGTAATTAATAATGCTAGGAAGGGAATGCACATATATTTGTCACAAAAATCATCAATGTGGTTATCACAACATAATTTATGTTGAATTAAAGCCTTTTTCAGTACGTGGGGAATGCAGGGGCACTGGTTATGCTGGGATACAAAAAAGGAATTAATGTTTGTTGGTAATGGTCATAATTCTTACTGATCAGTGGTTGAGTTGTCAAATCTAGTCACAACACATCATTCAGTCTACATGACCTCTAATTATTTCAGTAAATTTTTGTTTGAATTGCTATGAACCTCCTGAGGCCCTGTGTGCACATATAACAACATTACATTTTAGCTCTACTGCACCATAATAATTAGTAATTGTAAACTTGGACCTGTTGGTATCATTCATTGGCATGTTGTCTGCCATCTTGTGGTCACAAAAGCAAATTACACTTTTTCAGTGTGCATTCATGATGGTAACAACTTTCACTAAAAGCTTTGCAGCTGGTCCCATCAGAAAAACTCATCCAGCAACAAAGTCCCTTCAGATTTACGAGTATGATTCTTATTAATGTATTTGTGTTTGTTTCTTGATATGGAATACAACTTTGACTCATTTTATCAAAAGCAACAAGCTGAACATAAACATAAAGTATAAGTAAACCTGATTTATTGACTGGCACTATACCTGACATGATGAGTGATACCTTGCCTGCTGACTTACTAATGGACACCATACTTCACATGATGACTGATACCGTAATGACTTACTAACTTGAATTATACCTTACTAACTGGCACCTTACCTTATTGAGTGACACATAGCTATGACTCCTAGTCATTTGTGTCGTTCCTGCAGACACAAATTCAGTTCAGGAGATTTGTTATATTGTTGACTTATTTAGTTTTAGAATGGCCATCTTTAGGCTTTAAAATAAACACGTTTTCTGTGAGACAACTTCTTCCTTATTTTGTCTTTTGCTTTTAGTTTAATACTTTGTTACACAATGGTGGCTTTACCATGTTATACAGAAAAATAAACCAAATGTCCCTACCTCAGGACATCATTTTTGTGAAAACTACCACCTGTTTAAAGACAGTGTGTATTTTTATAATGATCAGGTTGTACTTATCACAAATTGATTGGAGGAATTCAACAGTTACTAAACTACCCTAGTGGATGGGCTCTCCCTCAAAAACAAACATCCCCATAAAAGTGCTGAAAAGAGAAGCTGACTTGTGTGTTACATGGAGCACTCAGGTAGTTTGTAATCCTTTTCTTGTACAACAATAAGGTAAAAAACTAAAAGCCATATCAGTTGTTAAGTGGTTTAGAGTCTGTTTATTCTTGCACATAGCCCTGTACTCTTTGTTTGTGCAACCTTGAAACTATTGTGTTGCCAACACTATACCGCCACTGTGGGAGTGATGCTGGAATCATCTCCTCTCCCTGCCTGACCTTGTCTGTCTCTGTACTCTGTTTGCCAGGCGTCCAGTTTAGAATGGAAGAACAAAGAAAACCAGGACACTGGCTTCAGGTTTCTCTTCAGCCTTTTCAAGAAGTACTACCTTCCACATCTATTCCCCTCCTTCACCAAGCATACAAATCTCTACAAGCCTTTATTAGGTAAGTTGTCATATAGTATATAGGTATATATTTGCCTTTCTGCCAAAGCCTCTTCAACAGAATTTTCTATATTTGGTTTATTTCTACTAAGGTGTATAACCTGTAATCAAACTCAAGAGTGGCTATTTGTGAGGTGAAAGCTCTACTTAGTAAAATAGAAATACAATGTATTAAAATAATCTGACATTTGACTCTAATACAGCTTTGACTGTTAGCAGAATATGTGTTCCCCGTGCTTAATGGTGAAAAGTAATGGGTTATCAATTCAATTCATAAAACTTTATTTGTCCCCAGGGGGCAATTCAAATATTCTACAGTGTTACTTTTCTCACGCTTTAATGTGCATTTGTGGTATACCCTTTGGCCCCAGAAACGTGCTTGCTGCGTGAAATTAAAAGGCAAAATTAAAAACTGCACGGGACTCCAATACAACACAAACAAAAAATGTATGGTTTAACAAGTGAGCAATAGAAAAACATTGCTGTACAAAATGTTATCTGCTTGTTCAGTTTCCAAAGCTATGTTAAGTGAACACATTTTGTAGCACCTCAACAGCAAAATATCCAGTCCTCCAATTTCAGCTTGTTCCCATGCTCTTCTTCTGATGCCCTCTTTCAATTGTCTTTCTCTAATCATCCTCCACTTTTCCCCCATTGTTTTGCTCAATTAGACCTACCCCACCACAGACCAAAACCCTTGTACGTGCCAGTGACACGAAACAATGAAAGCACCTTCTGCACCAGAGATCAGTACCTGGCACCCCGTGTGGCCTTCATCACCTGGCTGGTCACCTTCTTCCTGGAGAAGAAGTATGTCAGCAGCGCTGTCGCGGTGCAGGGCACCAAGAACGGCACTGAGGTCATTCCCAAACTCATCCAGGTGAGCATGATGTGGCAGTGAGTTTAGAGTTTATACATTTTAACATCTGAGAACACTTATTTAAACTTGCATATATCAACTTTAATTCCTTTGAAAATAACACAATATACAACACAAATTGGAATATTTTATTGTCATGGCGAGTATAGATGTTTGTTCCCCATACAGATGTCCATAGACACAGTCAATTTTTAGTGTAGTGACCGACCAATTATTTGATAGTATGGAAGCAGCCCCATTGCGCACGCACTCTTTGGTTTGAAACAGGTTTTTACTTTTTTTTTTTTTTTTTACATGTAAACGTACTGATTGTGTCTCCTTGATGCCCAGACTGTCACTGCAGGCAGTAGCAGCCAGGATAAGGATAGGACATCAGATGGGGATCCTACTGGGCCAGCGGGGGAGCCTGAGAAGAGCCACTCCAACAGCAGCACGCTGTCAGACCGACGGCCAAGTGATTCCAGTTTGTGTAGCATTGAGGAGGAGCACCGTTATGTCTATGATATGGTGCATGCAATCCTGCTGTCCACCAGGGACAATGTGAATTTTGTCAACGAGGTCTTCCACCAGGTACATTATGGTCACCAAGCCATATTTTTTTTTTCATATTTGAAAAAAGAGTGACATTCATCCATGATATGAATGCTGGCTGGATGCTGATGTTGTGATAACATGTACTGTGTTGCCCTCTGCTGGCCGTTTGTTAACATTACTTTAAAGTCCTACCAGGCTAACATTTCAAACTTTAAACAATGCTGTTATAGATAAGTTTTGAAGTCAATATTCCCTCTCCTTAGGCCTTCCTGCTGCCATCCTGTGAGGCATCAGCAACCAGGAAGGTGATCAAAGTGTACAGGAAGTGGATCCTGCAGGAGAAGCCCAGCTTTATGACAGAGCCTGACAAAAACACCCAGAAAGATGAAGTGGACGACAGCTCTAGACAGATACTTAGCCTGGAGGCAAACAGCATGCATGCACAGGTGAAACCCATTGAACTAAAAAAAAAAGTTTTGGAGTAAGAGGATCGTAGAGGTTTAGCAATGTAACTTTTTTGAACTAGTTCCTTTAGTGCACGCTTTTAAGGAATCCTAGTTTGGAAATTAAAAATGTACATACAATAAACAAGTTGAAATCTTTTGTGAGTCACACAAAGCACCTTTAACAGATTGCAAAGGGACACATTTGTAGGGGTTGTATTTCATTGGAAAAGGGTCATTCTTAAAGCCTTAACTCACATGAACTCCTGGCAATGTCCCAAAGTTTTCAGGGTGAGCTGGATGTGCAAAAGCATACATATTTTGCACTAATTTTTTCTGGGTTTTTTTCCCGCCAGTCCGGTTGGAAAATTTCCACTAGAAGTATTTCTATGTTAAGTGTTTTTTCTCTTAAGCCTAGTCACCTACGTAGGCGGGTATTTTTAAAACCGTAGGTATTTCAGGTCGTTTTGGCTTTTTGTATAGACACAAACTGCATTTTAGGTCACTGAAACAAATCTTTTGGAAAACTCCTTCCATGGTGAAGACTTTCAGAAATTCTGTTAAAGTGTAGACAGGGACAACAGAGTTTTTGGCTTGTAGCATCACACTGTAAGCAGATATCTCCTCCGTTTGGTGTCATTGTGCGATGCTGGCACTTTACATGACTAGCTTTGGTGTTAACATTGCTAACTATACTTTTTACATGCTTACACATACATACACAGTTGCTTTCCCACTATGTTGACGAGCAGATGCGCATAAATGGCCAACTTTGTAAATGAAATGTTCATTGCAGAGAAATGGCGGGGAAAAAATTGCATGTCAAGGACATCCTTTTTGTCTTGGCATGCTTATGACGGCCATATACCTTTGAGAACTTAGCGTGTGTGCACAGGATTATTTTTAAAACGAAGGAGGAAAACCTCTGTTTAAAAAAAAAAACCTGCTTATGTGTGGACTAGTGTCTTTGCTAATGTCTACTGACCAATCACCTTTTGTCTACCAGGTAATAGAGAGTCACGGCCACAAGCGGTCATCTAGCTGGGGGAGGACTTACTCGTTCAGCAGCGCCATCAGTCGTGGCTTTCTCACAGAGGAGCAGAACAGGGACGTCAAAGCTGGTATCCAGCCCACACTACAGGTCTGTACAAGTGGTCAGAGGTGTGTTTATATCCTGTGACGACAGCACTCTGTGATTACAATTTCACTGTGTACATGACACATTAATGTACATTTTCTCTCTGTTGTTACCTTGTCTTACTCAGTCTTTGTGTCTTGCTGTTTGCTCCTTCTTCTGTTTGTTCATGCACCTATATTTGAAGGTGTTCTTGACCAATTCATCCAATGTGTTCCTGTTGGAGCCGTGCCAGGATGTACCAAAACTACTGGACAACCAGGTTGAAGTGTGCAAGGGTGTTCTCAGCATCTATAGGCACATGATCATGGAGCACACGATGAACACACAGACATGGTCAGTGACATGAGGAAATACACATGACAGATTTTCCCAGTTATTCCTTCATGTTTCCTAAATGTCATGGGAGGGAGGGAATTATATGATCATTCTCTATCACTATCTTTTTGTCTTGATTGACTCTGTTCTTATTTGCTATCTGTGTTGAACAGGGAACAGTTGCTGCAGGTACTGCTGAGGATCACAGAGGCGGTGATGAAGAGGCCACAGGAAAACCAAAGAAAAGACAGCTTTGCTGAAAGTTTAGCCTCGATACTCTTTAGGGTAGGTTTAGTTTTTCTTGGTTAATGACCAGCACAATTTGTTATTGGGTGTTGACATTCAGCAATAAATGAACACTAACCTGGAATTCTTAACTGTAACATTGTCTGTCAAATGTAACGCATCTTTTCCTGTCTCATCTTGCATGCAGACCATCATTGTGGCGTGGGTGCGGGCCAACCTGTGCGTATTCATCTCCCGGGAACTATGGGACGAGCTGCTGGCAGTGCTGTCCTCTCTTACCTGCTGGGAGGAGCTGGTGACAGAGTGGGCCAGCATCATGGATTCGCTGACGGCTGTGCTGGCACGCTCCATTTATGGCCTGGACATGGCCAACTTGCCTCTGGACAAACTCAGCGAACAGAAGGAGAAGAAGCAGAGAGGACGTGGTGAGGGGGAGAAGTTAGGGAAGAAATTGAGATGTTGATATTTGGGTAAACCAAGGTTTAAATTGACCTCTTGAAAGATCCTAGTAACTTTACAGTTGAGCTGTTACGTTAGGACTTGCTCTAAAGAACTAAAAGAATATAGAAAAAAATGAAATAAGAAAACTTGAATACCATTACCATAGAAATCCTTAAAATTCCCACAGTGAATTGTCTTGCATTTTCTTAGAGGTTAATGGTGCTAAATCTAATCGATAGCTGATTGTGAATACAAAATGTGTGCAAAAGCCTTTGCAATGAGACAGTCTTTTATTTTTGCAGGAGTGATTCAGGACTCCCAGAAGGCAGCAGCTGTAGCGCGTTCCTTCTCACTGAGTTGGCGGAATCAAGGGGAGCAGAGCGGGCCAGGAGTCCAGGAGCCCATGAGGATTCGTTCCGCCACTACATCGGGAGCTCCAGGTGTAGAGAAAGCACGTAACAATGTTCGACAGAAGGCCTCCGGTAAATACTTGTAATATTATTGATTACAGTGTTTTGTTGTAGGTCCCCATAGCAAAAAATGAAATACAATGGGGTGACTTTTATAAGACAGGCACTATTCTATACACATGCTGTGTTAATCTTTTGCTTTGTGTAAGCCAACAAAACAGAGCTGATAAGCCTCAGGAGCACAGCCTCAGACCACCGGTTTTATTGACTGTGTGTGTAAGCCTTCAGACAGGTCCATGTGTACCCTAGTCCAGGTGTCATTGAAAGGCCCAACACCAAAGACAAAGAGGCCAGCAGATGGCCCCCATTGTTCCCCTCACATGTCACTGGCCAATGTCAACATGTTTCTATGTCAGCTCAATTGCAGTCATACAGCACAATCCCCCCTGACAACATGTCAAAGGCCAGCTTTGGACACTCATTGTCATTAGCTCAGTTTGGACACTGCAAACACGCCTTATCTGATGGCAATGTGGCAAGCTAATTATAAGTTGAGCTAGAAGGCAGTTGAGAGGTAACTAGCTGCAGTGCTTGTCTTGCTCGTCTTAATTTTGTCTAGACAGAATCTTAATATGGAGGATAAAAGACAGAGATGAACCCGTTGCGTTCCCTGCCCTTCCGCCCGTCCAATTACCACCAACACACTAAAATGATGAGCTTGTTGAGCTAGGAGCAGATGTGTTTGTGCCTGAAGGATGAAGTCTTAGAAGGGATTTGTGTACATGTTTGTGTGTGTGCTGACACATTTATTATGCGTTTTGTGTGTGCATGTTAATGCACCTATTCTGTTAGTCTGCTTATTTGTATCCTCATGCAAGCCAAGATGGACATTAAACACTACCGCTTCAAATTCCCTTCCCTTTCTTTGGCCTAATTGGATTTCTCCCACATTGATCTTCAAAGGCCTGGCAGCCCTCCTCCCTAGTCCTCAAGAAAAGCCCACACATCAATTGAACGGCAGTTTTTGATAGTTTCATTAAGAGTGTAATTAATGCTCATTAATATGCATAAATGGTAAGCAGTGGCAGGCTGTAGCAGAGACGATGTATCTCTCTTGCTGAAAGGCATAATTAAAGTGTGTTGAAAACAGAGAATAGAACTGTCCTCTTTCATTGCTCTCTTTGAGATTAAGTCTGAAGTACCAGCCAGATACAATGACAATGCCTCGGCAATGACAACTGTCAAAACTTGGCTGCACTTGTTCATGCAAATACAAACTAATATTGTTGTGAACTTGTTGAAAGAAAGAAGCTGGATGTATTATTATGGTACAAATGAGGGATTTCTAACAACAGAGAACCAGCCCATCTCTCACTCTGCCACTGAGGTGTGATCTATTTTATTATGTTATTTTGTGTGAGCCAACATGGACAGAGAAGACAGTGCCAGTCTAATTTTGAACCCTCCAGATCAGATTGCTGGACGGTTTCATTTTTACTGACCAATATATACAAATTTAAGATTCCCATCATATGCCACCATTTACCAGCAAGGGATGAATACAGCACTTCAGCTAGCCAGCTAGCTAGTTGCTGTTTTTAACCACATTTCATTTGTTTATTTTTTTTACCCGTAAAATGTGACCCTGTTATAAGTGCATAAACATGTAACATCTGAGTTAGAGTTAAGTTTGATGTTTAGATCAATGATGTTAGAGTAACGTAAAGATCCAAACAGTGTAAGAGAAACATCGACACAACTATGAGAACAACAACATATGAAGAAGCATCATCATTAGTATGATGTCTCGCAGCTCAATCGAGGGACATTCAATATCTCGTGTTTATCTGCTGGACAACAACTATCGGCCAAAAGGGGGTAGATACTGACTAATGTAAACTCCAACAAGTGTCTGTTAGAGGATACACCTTGCACATATACACAACATGTGAAACATACAGAAAAAATACCTTCATTCTCATGTTTGTGAATTTGCAGCTTCCACGACTTCAAATGTGTTTTGTTTTTTTATTGTCAGTCATATTCAGATTTGAATGAATACTGAGTTGACCTTGTTCAGGTCAAAATCTGGTTCTGCTCTCATGTACTCTGCTTGTATTGATTACGGTCTTCTTCCCCTTTCATCTTTTCTCTTATCACTTCTTTGTTCTCTTTTGTCTTTTTTTTTTTTTCTGATGGAAGCTAAGCGAAGCCAGTCAATCAGCAACTGTGTCCATCTATGCGAGGCTTTGCCAACTGCTAAAAGTGTTCCTATGCTGCTCCACACTGTGAGCTCTTTCTTACCTGGTATCTCTTCTGGTAACTCTGCTTGCTCTCATAGACTCTCAGGTAAATGTATTCTGAGAGCTGCATGTGTCTTTGTGTGTTGATGACCTACGCCCTTCCTTTCTGTGCATCTGTCACTATCTGTTATATTCAAACCATTTCTGTGTCTGTTGTAATGGGTTTAGCACAAAGAGGATCGTGCTTTAATGGGAACTTAAGGCTTTCTTGTTTTTACTTACAGTTAAAACAGTTTAAAAACAGTATGTCTGCATCATTACTGCATGTGTGCAAGTCTTACACTCTCCTATTTTTAAGAAATTGTCAATGCTCACGTCACAGAAACCGTGTCTTTAAATCCATAAAATAACAAATGCCATATTTTGTTGTGTTTACATTTATTGTGTTCGTGTTTTGTTTTGTTTTGGGTCTTGTGACTCCGCCTAACCAACTGCACTTCTTTTCTGTTGTCTGTCAGATGTGGAAGAGTGTCAGCTGTCAGAATGTGGAGGAGAGGAGGAGCTTGGAGGTGGAGAAAGTCCTCTGCCACGTAGCAGCAGCACCTCAGACATCACCCAACAAGTGTCTGACACTTTACCAGGTAGAATCTGGGCACTCCAGTTGACGTCTTTACATGTCAAATGAAACATTAATATAGCTCTCTACATCCCTTTATTCATGTCTTTATTGAATTGTTTTGCTCCTATAAAGGGAAAAGGGAAACAGGGCATGAGAATTTGATCTATGGCTTTTATTCATCTGTTGTATTTGTCTATTTCACTGGATCCATTTATCACACATAACATTTGCCATACAATAAAATGTAAGAAAGAAGTAGTAACGTTCAGCATTGTTTGAAGCAACTACAATGACAGATAGAAGAAAGAAAGAAATTCATGAAGAAAATACACATGTTGCTTTTTGTAGAAGCTGCTGTAAGATAACTCTCTTTTATTAATATAATCCCTTGTTGCACCTCAGCCCAGAAGAGAGAGTACTCCCCTACTTCATGTGGCTCTGATAGCAGGACATCTGAGGGAAGGAGAGAGAGTAGTGAGCCACCAGTGGTAAGGAGAATCATCTTTTGTAAAGTATTACTTTGATGTAACAGGAGTTCCACATACAAGGAAGTCTTCTTTAATATTTGTTTCTCTATTCTCAGATCCTCATCCGGCAGAGCAGCAGTCCAGCCGAGACAGAGTGCAATTCTGAGGGACACACAAACTACTCTAGACCCAAACTCAGAGAGAAAAGTTAGAGAATACATTAAGATGTGATCACTGTAATATCTGCATAGCTGTGTTTTAAAATTGATGTGAGGAATTATAGCTTTTAAATGTAAATATACAAGTTAAACCCAGCATTGTAGTATCATAAAAAAACCTACTCTTTGCATGGATTCATAATCCATACACAGCCAGACCATTCCTTCTCATAATTCTCTAGTTGAACTTCTTCCACTTTTAATGTTGTTTATCCACCACATTCATCCAACATTTGTAGGTGAGAGTATAAGCAGTGAGACGTCCAACGGCTACCTCAACGAGGCCGAAGGTACCTGGCAAGCCTTTGATGATGAGGCTGACACTCAGTCCACACAGTCAGCTCACATGGACGTGACATCTGACCCCCAGAGCCAGGGTAGTTTGCTTCTCAGCCACAATGAGGCTCTCGCAGGTAATAGAACTGTTAAATGAGCAATTTGGCTATTTCAACACCTTTTTTTTTCCTACAATAAATTACTTTTAGAATCTAATACAGTCGACAAAAATATGTTTTGGAACTACTTCATCACTTCTCAGGATAAATAAGTTGACCGTAACTTTAAAATAGTTGTATTGTGTTGTTGTCTGGAGCAGCATTATTACAGGGTTAGCTATAGAACTGCGGAATTCAGTCCCATTGGGCCATTAAGAAAGTAAACGTGTCATTACTGTCTTTTTCTGTTTTTCATTACTTATTGGTTCGGTGTCTGTGAAATGATTTTATCCAGCAACAACACTAGAAATGGTATTACTTATAGAGCAATCCGTTGTAAGCATTTAGCACTCAGGAAAATTAACTTGAAATAGTCCTCTAAGTTTTTCATGGCTGTGTACTGATCCAGCTGGGTCATAGTTCTTACTATAACCTTGCCCTTGAGGGATTAGTCATTTGCAGACAGACTGTCCCACTCAGGGAAATGAACCTCTTGTAAGTATCTGATACAATACCTCTCTAGCCAAGCAGTGTAATTGTTTAAAGCTCCGGACAGCTTGTGTGTCAGTCTTGCGTTTAAGTTTTTCAAAGAAAAAGTGGCCTGTGCTCCCCAGTTTGATCTGACAGAACAATTGTAAGTGGCAGTTATTTTTATTCTTACAATACTCACAATATGATTTATTATCAGACATTAGTTTTGTTAAACTCTTAATTTTTAGTGTCACCCTCCTTCCTCCTCACTGTCATTTTACCCTTCCCAGCCTTCTGTGAACTTTCTGTTCCCCGTTGGGATCATCATGAAGTTGTCACCCTTTTCCATGATCCCTTCCTCAAACCCAGTTTTATTCTTTTCCCCTTGTTGTTTTTTTTAGGTCCTGAGTGTTCCCTTTCTCCCCACTCTGCATCCTTGTCCTACCACCACCACAACCACTACCACTACCCCCAGATCCCGCCCTCCTCACCGGCCCTGCTGGTGCACACAGAGTGCCCTCTGGATGACAACATGCATCAGTCTGTCTTACACATGCCACATCACTTGGGTACTGCTCCCCAGCTGCTACTCATTATATAGATCACATAGTCCTCATTTGCATCTCCATGTTTTTCAGCCTAACCTTTATTTCCTTTGCTTCAAGACACTCATTTCCATGTTTGCTCGTGTTTTTCATTTCCCCAGATAATCCTGTTCAGTTTCTTGATTGAATTAGGGAAATTGCCTTTTCTGGTTCTCCTTAAAAACAAACATGCATTCCTGCTTATTCTCTTTTTAGTTGAACCTAACATTGGATTAAAAAGCTGAGCCTTAACTCCCTTTACTCCTACGTGTTCTTCTGCTGCTCACTAGGTGGCAATGTCCTCCTACAAATCAACCTTATTTGGCTGATGCATGTGATTTGTGCCTTATTCCAAAAGTGTTCAAGTGCTTTGATAAGTTTCATTAGACAATGATAGTACTTGGACACAGTTGAAAATAATGCACAAGGTAAATAACAGGAATTGGTCAACAAGTGCTCAAAACATTGACTGGATGGTTTGAGGGTTTAGTTATCTTCCAATAGTTACAGACAAGCAACGAAATATATAGAAGAAGACGTGTTCTGCATTTGTTGACCGAATCCATAAACTCTATGAAATTGCATTTTGTTCAATTTTAACAGGTGCCAATATATATTTTGGGTGCTACCTGGTAAATCATTCTCTAACTCAAACCTCCACAAACTCTGTTTCTGACTCTGCAGACAGCAGTGAGTGTCTTGCTGATGATGTCAGCATCATTGCGGGTGGGACCCTGACTGGTTGGCATGCTGACTCTGCCTTTGTCCTGTGGAGGAGGATTTTGGGTATCCTTGGAGATGTGAACAGCATTCGATGCCCTAAAATCCATGCCAAGGTCTTTTCCTGTCTTTATGAGCTCTGGCACAAGCTGGCAAAGGTATGAGTAAGAGCTTAAAAAAACTCTGCTTGTTTAGAGTTGTATTTCATTTAGAAAATATGATATGATATAGGTACCCTTTGTTTCAATGTGTTTGTGTTCTCATTATCTCCCTGTTTATGTAAGAAAACAGTTTCTATGAAAATGTAAATAGAATTTCAAACCAAAGGTCAACAGAATTTTCTCCTGTACTTTCTCACATAAATGCTTAGAGATCATGCATGGTGGTTTTGTTAATTGCCTCAATGAACATGTGCTTACAGATCCGGGACAATCTTGGGATCAGTGTGGACAACCAGTCCTCTCCACCTCAGCCTGCCTTCATCCCTCCTCTTCGAATGCTGGCCTCCTGGCTATTTAGGGTATTAAAAACTCACAGACACAGCAGACAACACTCACAGTAATTGAATTCTTGGGGAATAAGAAAAATAATGTGCTACAAGCCATCCAGGTACTGAGGGTACGATTTTAAGTGTGGTAATGTAAGTAGTATAAGGCATCCAGAAATAATTAATATAAAACTAAAATAAAAAATAATAATAAAAAAAAAAAGGTCTGGTAATATGTTTGTAGTAGCTGTTTGACTATGTGGTAGGTGTTTCCCTGGGAGACGCCTTTAATGCTCAAGAAGGAATTTGATTACATGAAATTAAATAGAACAAAATGAAAATGGTAAGCTGAAGCATAGGAAGACGCTGTGACTGAACACAATACATCTATCAACATCTTATTGTATTATTCCAGGAAAAAAATCTGAAATATTCAATTAAAACTCAGAAATGTCGAATTTCCTTTATTGTTGGAAAAAGGCTGCTGTGTTGACATTAGATTCTCATTGGTTACAACTGATACAAGTTTGACACATTTCTACCGCGGGAAAAACAATCCACAAACTTCTCCCATCATCCCTTCAACATTAAATGCAGATGTTGAACATTTCAAAGTACTGAACTCTTCATTATAAGAACACTTAACGTTTCTCCACCCTCCACAGGCAACCATGCTGCCTGCTGAGTACAAGGCTGGTAAGCTGCAGGCCTACAAGCTGATCTGTGAGATGATGACCAGGCAACAGGATGTTCTCCCCAACAGCGATTTTTTGGTACACCTCTACCACATCATTCACAAGGGCGTCACCAGCGACGACCAGGTACAGTCAGCCAATAGGGGGCACCTTCATGATAAATGCCAGTTGTTATTTTTTTCACCACTAGATGGAACACCAGACAAACTCTTGTGATGTATATACATCTGTGTTTTTTTTTCCCTGTGTGAAGTGACTGCACTGATTCCTAATCAACTATTACTGCTTAATGTACATAAAATATACTTGCGTTTAATAATCTACAACTAAATGGGTCCAATGAAAGATTTTTGTTTACATGTAAAAGAAGTTCAGTAAGGTGCAATGCAAAGTAACTATGTTGAGTCCTTGATGCAGCTAGTGATTTTGAAAACTGTGTGCCAACCAGTGGTGATGAAGAATGCTTCTATGTTTTGGCATCTTCCACCTGCTTCAGCCACACCCTTCGTTGTATTTAAATCTGGCCAGGCTCCATTTCTTCCAGACCAAGCCGAGTAAAGATGAATGGAGTCTCCAAAAACAAAGGATTGGGATAAATGTGTGTGTGGTTGGGGAGGGAGTGGGGGGGGGGTGTGTGTGTTTTGGAAGCAACTGTGTGCTGTGTGTGTATGTATATGCCCTCCTGGCTTGGTTTCTATTGCGTCTTGGCAGTGCGACAAGCTTATTAGAATGTTTTCCATGTCGTTAAATAATGTTTTGAGCCCCTGCCGCGTATACGTGATTAATTAAGGATTGACGTCTGTCGCGCTCCGTTAGACTGACACGTCGGCCATGGGCCCAGAGTAGGCTGGCCTGCCTTCCTGCCTGCCTGCCTGCATGTGTGTATGCAAGTGTGTGATGGAGCGGGAGGGGAGACTGGGGAACATAGTGTAGAGTAGAGCAATGAGGGGGGCACATTGAGGGACCCGGCAACATTCTCCAGCTTTTGTTGTGGCTCTGTATAATGCGTCGGGGGGGCCAGAGCCAGGCTGGCCACTGAAGCATGCTCAAATTGGCCGGAGAAAAGAGTCCTCACGCCACACAATAGAGGACAGCCGCACGCCTGCTTAACATAAGAAAGTGGCTCTTACACTCCCCCTCCTCCTTCCTCTCTGCCTTTACTCACAACCCCCAACTGAGCAAAAAGATATTTTTTTTTTTCTGAATCCTGCAAACAAGTTTATGTATTTATATACACATGTTTTTTTAGATGAAATTATTTTTCATGCACTAATTTAGATTAAGTGACAACATCAATCCAGGCAATGCAAATAATGACATTATAAAATGTTTAGAGTCAAGTTTAGATTTTTATTCACAGCTTGTATTTTTATCTGAGAGTATTCTAGCTTACAGATGGCAATTTTGTCTTTAAACTTTAGGTATTTCTCTTTAGGTGTTTCTCGTGGCATCAAATTTACATCAACCAGTTTTGTTTAATAGACAATTGAGGGAATCCCAGTATAAAAACCCTTACCACTAAATTCAGTTTAGCTTAGAGAAAAATGACACTTCCTGTGGAGAGATTCTCCTTCTAACTGACAGAGTGCCAAGGTCAGGGCTATTGTCCTGGTTGTTCCCTGGTCACTGGTCTCACAAAGGCATGACCGTAGCACAATAGCAGTAATCTATCTAATAGGTCTACTGTCTGGACTGCAGTAGTTTATAGCAAATATTGAAAAGTATAGTGCACACAAACAAAGCCTTTTTGTGCACAACTTTGGATTGCATAGGCGTTAGTAAACACAATATATTAGCCACATGTTATTAACTTCTAATATTTATTTATGGACAAGTAGACTGATATTTTCCTTAGCTCTGTTTTGAGAACAAAGCTGGCTTCTCCTTGACTTACTCTATCTTGTCACTGCTAAATAGAAGTCTTTGATCATTCATATAATGTCAGATTACATTGAGACAGTTGAACTCTAAATCAAAAATGTGGCCGTAGATTATAACTCCACCCTCACAGATGTGCAGGTGGGTTATCTCCTTATATACTCCTGTGTATCTCCTTTCAAAAAAGCCTGTGAAGGGAAACCCCCAGATACTTATCGTATATTGATAACAGTGTCGTTGAATTGCAACAGAAAGTCTTACCAACACTTAACTGGAAACATCCATATGTAATAAAAAAGAGAAAAAGAAAGAAAGAGGGACCAAAAAAATGCAATGTTGTGCAGAGTGATGTCATACTGGACTGAACCCCGTCACCCCAGGGACAAGCAGGTGGGCAGCATGTGCTTTCTTGGAGATGAGGCCAAATGAAAAGGCCTGAGGTGGCTCTATTCAGAGTTACATTAATGCACCTTTTGTTGATGCGGGGGCCTTTCCTACTGCCAACACAGAGCCACACGCCGAGCTCAATTCCCATCACTATACACACACCTCAAACCAGGTTCCCTCTACTTACACATACAATGGAAAACGCTCTGTTTTCTTTTTGTGGCTTCCTCTAAAATGCTCACTTCAGGCAATCAAGCAACAGTTTGTTACATGTTAATTACCTCTGACTGCACTGCACATTATGTTTCAGAGGTCAATTACCAACAAAATGAGGGTAGAATGGGCCCTCAATCCTAAAGCTCTTCCCTGCAATTTTCCACATTCGGTGCATCGTGTTAGTTTGACTTCGTTTTGCTGCTTTAGCCTGTTTATTTTATTCCTCTGTTGTTCACTTGTATTTCCTGTTTACTAAAGCGGGATAATAACGCTACAGATAGATAAATGAGACAGTGCGCCTGCATGTGTGTGTGTTTGTATGTGTCTGTGATTGAGAGAAAGAGATTGTGTGTTTGTATGTTTCTGTTCAGCTAGAAACAGGCTGATGTTTGAACTGTCCAATTTACACAAGTTTATGGTCAAGAAGGCAGGTGTTTCCTGCTTGGACCTTGCCTTTGTACACAAATGTACAGGCGCATGTCTCAGATAAGAGATATAACAATGTTTAATGTTTTATGTTCTGTTTTACTATGTAGTTGCATTCTTATATATACATATATATATATATATATATAGATATTTATATATATGCATATAATTTCCTGGTTGACTTCATTTGAATTGTATATTTTGTCTTTTTTTTCCTATTATCCAAAAATCAAAACTGTGTTTTTGTAATTCAAAGGAACTCTGCCTCTCAGCTGCAGCTTGCTTTACCATCTGACCGTAGCGTGGAGAAACTGTTGACAGCTTTTCATGCTCTTGTCTAGCATGGTGTTACACTGTACATACTTGAGCAGTTTGTGCAGAGCCCTCTGCAGTACAGCATATGTCAATGTTGAATGAGCACCCATCTGCCACTCAGCCACCCGTACCTCAGCAAAACAATACCTTGTCTCTGGCTTTAATTACAGGTTTGCTTGTGTGTGGATAAACAAGTGACTCATGAAAGTTGGGGTCTTTTGTTCTGCCTCTTATTCTCTGTGAACTATCCATCTGCTGCCCCTCTCTCTCTCTTTCACTCCCTCTCTCGTCTTTTCGTTCCCACTCTGATTTTCTTCTGTCCTTTGGTGACATGTACAGTTGAGTGCCTTACTCTCCTAAACTGTCTCAGAATGCTAAGCCTACCTGTTGGAGAAAAAGCTTTTTCCCTGCAATGATTCTCACATGGTGGCTTACAAAAAAAAAATTTCTGCCTTGACTCCAACCACGCTAACAAGTTCCTTTGCTCATACCAATTATTATTCATTATTCATTTCCAGTTGAAAGTAATGATAGCAGTTTATTCCTGAATTCATGTATTAGGTCAAGTCAGTTGCTGATAGCTAATAACATAAATATAAATGTGTGTGTGTGTGTGTGTGTGTGTGTGTGTGTGTGTGTGTGTGTGTGTGTGTGTGTGTGTGTGTGTGTGTGTGTGTGTGTGTGTGTGTGTGTGTGTGTGTGTGTGTGTGTGTGTGTGTGTGTGTGTGTGTGTGTGTGTGTGTGTGTGTGTGTGTGTGTGTGTGCGTGTGCGTGCATTTTGTCATCAGGATATTTTGAACACCATGGTCCGTTCCTGCTCTCCTCGTTTCTTCTTCCTCGGTCTGCCAGGCTTCACTATGCTTGTTGGAGATTTCATCACTGCTGCCGCCTGTGTTCTCAGCTCGGGCTCATCAGAGGTATACACACACTTCAGATTTATATGTGAACCAATCTAGAGTCATGCAACTTCAAAAACAACAAAAGTTGACAAATGTGTCAAAGTTTTCAAGAAATCCACTTTAGTGCATGACAACAAAGAATAAAACATTTTGCAAAGTATAGAAATCCTGGTAGCGTTAAATCCTCTGTTAATGTCAGATTTATTCACCAACTCATGACTGATAGTTCTATCAACAAACAATGTTCCATTGAAAGTTGTTATATTTTTCAGCTTTGAAATTGAAAGGCTCAATTTGTATTGTGAATTCTAGTTATAATTTAAGAGAGTTTGACGCACAAAAAAACTTCCACCCATACTTTCATTGTCGGACTGGATATCTCTGACTTCAAATAATAGCACCGAGCGTTGTTCTATATTAAGATGCAAATGCTCCTCCTGAGAAACTTAAGTAGTTTTTTTGTACAGTTGAGCTACATCTATCCAAAATTCATATTGTGCTGTACTTCCTAAATGATATGCCAATAAATAAAACATGGTTGACCTGTATTGAAGACATACAGTTCAGTTAATTGCAGATAAAAACTGGTTTTAACTGGTATTAAAAGCAGAGCGTCTTTTTTAAATCTCCTCTGAGGAACTTTGGCTTTGTGTTGATCTTTACAAACGTGTTGTGTTTTTTCCTTTTTACAACCAAATTCAAAACTTATTCAGAGACCTTATCTGGAAAATGTTAATAGAAGCTTATCCTGTAAAACATGATGTACTATCTGCTTTAACATGGAGTCCACAAGACATCAGTCATTTTGTTGTCCAATGCCTACCGTGTGTCAAAGATTCTGCTTAACATCAGCAAAATAGTGAATGAACTCTCGGTTAATTCTGTGAGATTGTCCCTCCAATCCTTTCTCCCAAGATAGTGACCTTCCTGTTTCCAGGAAGTGGGTTTTGTTGATATAGCATGAGGGAATTAATGATAGCATGTTGGCTTTTCACCCCCCTCTCATCTCTGTCAGGCTCCAAGGATGGAGGCTCAGACAATCCTGGGCTCCCTGGTGTGTTTCCCCAATCTTTACCTCCAGATTCCTATACTGCAGCGTGTGCCTGGCTCTGATGACATTGTTGCAGGCAATGAGGATATCAAGGTAGATGGTCGCATGAGTCTTACTGGATGTAAGCAGTAATGACGTTTTAAAAATCAAAAACTAGTCACTGCAATGGTGATTTGTAATTTTTAGAAAGATATCAGTCAGTCAAGCATGTTTGAGACATTAGGAAGTCTTTAACTCATGATAAGAGGTATCAAGTTTTAACAAATATTAAGAGTTTATAGCCTTTATTGAAAACAATTTTCAAACTTGAGTTGTCTTTGCTTGTTTAGGATTATTTGGTCAACATCCTGCTAGAGACTGCAACAAAGGAACACTGTGAAGGGGCAAGGTATGTGTCCAGTATTGGTGGAATTTGGTGGAAGTAAAAAGTAATCACAAATTATTTTTCCCAGGATTATTATGTGTAAACTTGTTAAACAAATTCACAAAGTGTTTAGTGTAACTCTGCATAATATAAAGACTACACAGAGCACATCCAATTCTGTATGATGGGAATGTGCTTAACTTGTAATGAAGTTTTAAATCTATCATTGAAACTCTGGGATGCATTTGTTTATTAAACAAAGGGATTTCTTTTTATGTCCTTTGCTTTTCTCAATACATTTTGTACAATTCAGGAATTGTATTATTCATAATGTTAGTGTTATATTATGTGTTCTTTAGGTGCATTGCAGTATGTAGTCTGGGTCTGTGGACGTGTGAGGAGCTGATGCAAAAAAACATCCACCACCAGGTTAAAGATGCCATCAATGTTCTGGGAGTAACACTAAAGGTCAGTGACCCTTTGGGAAAGTGAGCCTGAGTTATAAGCTCGCATTTGCAGTTTGAGATCTGCTAACTCAAGTGTACCATGTGATCAGTGAAACACAACTGCACTCTCTCAAAGCGCTTACTGCATGGTCTGTGTTGGCCATTGTAAAAGCAGCAAAATATTTTGAATAGAATGAATCACTGTTCGCCCAATTATCATAAAACAATAGTTGCAGAAGTGTTGTGTTCGTCAGTCATTTTTGTTTTACATTAAAGCCACTTTAGGGCTTAACTCTCGCAAAAATGACAGTTGATCACATATAAAGACTGAAGAACAATTTCAATATAGTGAGCCGAAAAAGGTGTGTGAATCAAAGTCGTGCAGTGATGTGACCCACTTGTAAAAACCCACTTTTTCTCCTGAGTGAAAAGATGCAGAGAGTCATGGGAGGCTGTTTTTTTTGTTTTTTTTTCATGGAAAAGGGTTTTGGGCGGTGGCGTAATTTTCATGCTACTTGCAGTAGATGTGGGCCAATTTAAGCAGCTACATCTCCCAGCTTCCTGCTCGAGTAAACCCCCCCCCCCCACCACCACCTCCCCCCCTCCCCTCTAATGGAGCAGTAATCACTCCCCTGTACAACTTGACACACAGACTCAGCCAGCCCAAAAATAGAGGGTACAGGCTGGGTGGGGGATCTAGGGGGAAGAGTGCCACTGAGAGTCTCTTTTCTAAAAGCAGGTGCTGAACTCTCAGGGCCCCTTTTTGTGTTTGGCCATTTCTGCACTCCCCACATTGTCTGCCCTTGTTACATGTTGAGAGGCATTCAGCTGGAAGAAATGGGAAATTCTATTTCTCCACAAAGAATTTCAAATCACTGAAGAAATCCACATTTGAAAGAAAATTGTCAACAGTTCAAATCTTTCCTCCAATAAGCCTGGAGAAAATGAGCCATGGTTTGAAGTGAAAATGAAATTATGCTGATTATATACACATTAGGTAAATTACTCAAAATTCTCTCATAGTCAGTCTGTGCCTAAACTTTTTCTTCAACAAGCAATGTCTCTCTGCCTTGTCTAGAATATTTGTGCATTTGGATGACAAAAATCAGACAACAGTGGGGGGGCATTGTTCAATTTTTAAGTATCACTCAGTGGGGACTATTGAAGATACAGAAACAGTGAAGCCTGTGAATAGGAAAATAATCTGTGTCCAGAACCCATATCACAGAAAAGATTTAAATAAAGATGTTTTTGAGCTTATGAGTCTATGTGTGCAGTGTTGTCTAATTTAGAAATATGTCACTAGGTGTCTCCTTGTAAAGACTGCATCAGACAGGCAGTATAACATCAACTGTGTCATACAAATAGTGTTAAAGTTACTTCTTGAAGACAGCATTATAGTCATTGCCTATCAGGTAGCTACTTAATATTATTTAAAGGTCACATATAATACTCCTTTTCAACAATCTTAAATAGGCTTCAGATGTCCCAAAAACATGTATATGAGTTAAAATTCCCCTCTGATCCTGTATTCGATCATGCCTTTAAACCCCTCTATTTGAGCCCTGCTCAGAACAGGCTGTTTCTGTGGCTGTGACTTTAAATGCAAACGAGCTGGGTTTGACCACGCCCCTCTGGAAGCACTTTGGTGGCTCGGGCTTTCACGCTCCATGCCCTTTTGTTTACGGTGAGAAGCCGCATAGGAGTACAGATTTCTTCTTGACCTTACAACTTACAAATTACAACGTCATTGTAATTTTGGAACCAGAGAGAACTACTCTCAATTAAAAACGAATCCTTGTAAATAAGGGACGAAGAACATCTGATGAGTGGCTACAGAAGTTAACACAAGAAAAGCTTCTCTCAATCATTCATTAATAATATAAAAGCTTTCTTCTGCCCTTTAATGTTCACATTAGCTATAAATAAAAAACATTGGTTCAACAGCCACATTTTTTCTCTAAATGTATTCTCTGTCCTTTTACAGCTATTTGTTTTTATATATATAATTCAGTTCTAGTTTTTTCTGCTTCTTTGTGCAGTTTGGAAACAAAGCAGTAGCTCAGGTAGCCTGTGACGTGTTTCAGCTGCTCATCTCTCACTGGGAACATCTCCAGCGATTGGAGTCATCTCTGCCGAAGAAAATCATTGAGGTAATACACACAAACACATGTTCACACAGTTGAAATGTTAGTACCCATTAGGGAACTGTGAGAACAAACTACATGTAGGTTAAGTAACATCCCCAAAATGTCACTTTAGGTCTTTAAATGAAAGTCTTGCATGAGCTATTACTCATCCATAAACATACTCTAACTCCTGTGGCATCAAATCCATTTTAGCATCGATCGTGACTCAGCTGATGAATAGAAGTGTGTCATCAAATTATCTTTCGCCTTGTTTTGTCCCAACACAGATCTTTGTGGCCACAATAGCCTTTTTGTTGCCGAGCGCAGAGCACTCAACAGTGGAAGCTGACAAAAAGGTACATATTTGAAAGGAGGGGACATGGAATAGCTGACATCTAAAGGCCTTTGATCTATCATGTTGGAATGGTACATTTGCAGAGGAATGTTTCTACTGATGTGATTTTCTCTTTTCCTTCTCTTGTTTGCATGTATTTTGTCTTTGCCATTCTTATCTATAGCCATTTTCACAGATGTACTCCTGATAATTTCAAGCAGACTGCAATTGAAATCTTCCTGACTTACTTGTTCATACATGCCCCTCATAGTGGGAGACTTTCTGTGTCGATGTTTTCCTTTTCTTTCTTGCTGTACTAAGGTATCCATTTTTTTTACTTAAACTTGAAAAAAGAAGCTGAAAAAATGACTCCTCTCTTCTTGCTCATTGTCAGTTGATGGTGTCCCTGCTGCTCTGCCTGTTGGAGTGGTGCATGGCTGTCCCACTAAGCTTGCTCCTGGAACCGATCACAATGCCTTGGCTGGAGGACCACACATCCCACAAAGCCCCACTGCTGGACTACATCTACAGGGTGGGTAGCCTCACTGGATCCTCCGCTGTAACATTTTGCAGACCTGATGGATGGCCTCTTACCAAAGTCCTCTGAAACACAAGATCTGTCTCGGCCCACAGACAATAACTTCAGCTTTGACACCTTCACTCCACCCCCAACCCCACCACATGGGCTGGCTATTTTAATTGGACTCACCTCCATCATGACCTCATGAATATGCCTCATTTCACATTATAGTATTGGCAGCATAGAGGCAGCCACCCAAAGTTGACTCATTCTGATGGTATTTCATCAAATGTAGTAAAACTCTTAGAATTTAGTTTGTTGTAGCATACACTTGTTTTATTCAGGCCAAATATTCTGTATTCAAGCAATTTCCCTGTGTCTTCAACCCTTTATTTTATGGTCTGACCCTGAGGATGAGGGCCAAGCTTCAGACACGAATGAATGAGGTATTATTCATTCCCTCCTGTCTGGGCAGATGCGGTCAACGGCAGATCTTTGTAAGGATGTCACCCCTGATAAGAAATGGTCCAATTATTCAAACAGAACCCTTTGTCCACGTGATAAGCTCTGGCTATAAATGCTTGCCCTGAACATTTGAATGGAATATGTCTTAATATGAGAGCGACTGCAGCTGCTATGAAAGCAAAGACAATTAGGCATGATTGGTTGTCTATCAGCACACAAAGGCATGGCCCCAGTGAGTTTCATTGGAAAAAATAAATTAAGCAAGGCATTACAAGGTGTGACAAAATTATTGCTTTATCAAGCAATAAAAACTGTATACATTTCTACAGATCCACTGGCTGCTTATCATTCTCTACACAGATAAGCTGCACCAATGAAACAATCTCCTTTTTATTCCATCACTGGCCAGTGTCACTGACAAGGTAGCAGGAAGCTTTCATTTGTTGTTTCAACTTTCTTTAATTACAGTCTTATATTTAAAAATTAATTCCATCTGAGGTGATCAAACACTAGCACAAAACATGTACTAAAAGTAGAAAGGGTGGTGTCATGCCATTTTGTTCTTGAAAGTAAGGTTGTTTTGTTGTCCAAGAGCAAGTAGATTGTTTAAAGTGCAATATTATACAAAACTTCATTGGTCCACTGGAGTTCTGCTCAAGTGTCTCCATCTGCTTTCTCCGCCTGCCTTAGCAGCCAGCTGCACCCCCCCCCCCCCTTGTGTGCATGTGCATGAGTGTGTAAGGGAGAGAGGGTATGTGTGTTTTTGAGAGAAGCAGAGAAGATATAGGTGCATTTGTGCATGTGTGCACCTGCATGATTCTGTTTGCATTTTTCCTATTTGACTTACATGTGTACATAGGCACGCTCATATATCCATACAACCTGTGCTGGGCTAAGCACAGTATGCATGTTTCACTGTGTTACATTACAGAAACTGTTGCTATGAGAAGTGCGGTCACTTCGTTGTCAAGCACAGCTTTCGGTTTTCCCCCTCCCCTTCTGTCTCTCCACCTCTCCATAGAGGAACCTCTTTGGTGCTTTGGCATAGCAGCTGTTTGGTTCAGGTCTTTTCAGCATCAAGCCTCCAATCCCTCCCCCGTGCACCCAGAGGTCTGCTTGGTGGAATCATCCACATACTGTCTACGTTGCCTCACACAATACTGTTTCAGATGTCAGGGCCAGCATGCTTTTCTCAGCGTGTCTTTGCCAAGTATGAGCGTATGTGTGTACTGAATGGGATTAGCCTTTGCATGGCTTTACCCAAGTTTCACTACTCTGAATGAGAGGCCCCCTCATTTACATACATTAGGCATATATTTTACCCATTCATATAGAGGAACGTAAATTCCACTCAGATAATACAGTGTACAGGTGTGTTTGTGTGCATGTTTGTAGTACGAGCTGAGCACAAGGATAAAGTCTTAATTAAATCAAACAGTGTAAACCTGTCCAATGGCTGTAATCAACTGCCCCAGTGTGTCTTATCTAGCCCTGCCAACGGATGCTCTGCCATCTGTTATGTAGATCGATACACTCACATCACAGGAGAAATGGATTAGTGACAATAAAGACCCTCTTTTCTCTCCCTTTCTCTCCCCTTCCTCCTATGCCTTCTGATGTAAATAGACCATATATTCCCCTTTCATGTGCTCCTGGATCTTGTCAATCTAGAACAGGCCTGTAAGGGTGTCACTGTGCATCGTCTAACCAGACACCACTATATCTAACAAGAAGGTGTTGTTGCACGTCATAGCTCAAGTTCTGTCATCAAAGAGTATTTCAATGTAATAATGTAAAAGATCAATGTAGGCATCTTTCTCCTGGATATAATCTCTAAATCATGTCCCTTTTCTACTGTTCTGTAGGTGTTGCACTGCTGTGTGGCCGGCTCCAACTTGCACACCCAACAGAGCCACTACCTCCTAAGCCTGTCAGACTTGTCAACTGACTATGATCTTATGTTGGGTCAGGTTAAGAGTTTTGAGCCGCCACCTTCCCAGACAACCAGCACTGACTTTGGGAGCCTGCTCACTGTAGCTGAGGGTAAGTTCATAAAGCAGTTCTCATCTCCATTTTTATTCTTGCTATGTGGAGGATTTCACTTGCCGGCAACTTAAATGACGCTTCATCGTTCATGTTAGTATGTCCATATTTGAGCAAACACGCGTGAGACAGTAAAAGCTTTGTTGACGGTTAGTTGACAGATGTCACAATCTAGCTCATCCTCAGATGACTGACATTGATCACACTTCGACATCCGTATAATTATAGATTCATTCTACACTTCTGAGGCACCACATACACATATATTTAGCCCCTAAAAAAGATTAAAGGGAAAAGGAAACTCAAAGCCCATCCATTTGGAGACTCCATTAAATGTCAATATTTTATTAAAAGTATGAAAAGAAAATCAACCATCACAGGGAATGGAATGTTCACATTAGTACTCAGCCCTAGAGAGAAGACCCATTATAGGGTTTTGATAAAAATCTGATCCTTTTTTTCTTTCTTTTTTTGTGACCTTGTGATTCCATTAGTCAATGTATTCCCCTCTCCCCTACTATGTACTGAATTTCTAAAAAGTTGTTATTATTCAAATATACAGAGGACCTCTCTGCTGGAACAATGCTAGAAATGTGAACAGTAGCTTTTGCCAGGAAATTTCACCACACCTCTGTTCTTTTGGTGCACAGCTGCACAGAGTCTTAGAAATAACAAAACACTATCAAAAGGGCAAACCAAAGAGTGCCGGCCTAGTTATATTCATGTCCCCACCTCATATTGATCAAGTCACATCAAAGGGCCAGCACATCTCTAATGCAGCTTGGCCTGCTTTCTAAAGAGCTTTCTCCACTTTGATGGGGGATGATGGTATTGATAGGACTGGCACAAGAGTGCATCTTCTTGTCTTTTTCCCCCACATCACTGCAGAATAATGCACGGCACGCCTTTCACTTGGTAGTAAAAACCTGTGCATTTACATAAATACAATTCAATAAGTAGAGTCCTGTTAAGCAGTCTGTAAAGAAGGTGGTTCTCATTAGCACTCAGCCAGTTCAGATGCTTGGCCATTGTAAGAAGACTCAATGGGCTTTTCAAAGTTGTCTCTCATGATTAGATATTACCTACTAAGAGGTGTGCTCACCAAGCTTTTGTGATGGATGAATAAAGTTCCCCTATTAGTAATCATAAATTAGATTAGGCATGTCGACACACAAATGTGAGGCTTTTCAAATATGGTTAGTAAAGTCTGACATGTTATTTAAGATGGCGGCAGGAGCAGTTTTTTTATTCTAAGTCCATCAGTCACTTTTTACCAATGATCACATTTTAGTGGTCTTACTCTTACATGTCTTCAATTCAGAGACAAAGTCTTTATTTTTATACACCTCTCCTCATCTTCCACCAGAAAAGCGACGTCGGAACATGGAGCTGATACCGTTGACAGCGCGGATGGTCATGACACACCTCGTGAACCATCTGGGCCATCATCCACTGAGTGGTGGTCCTGCTCTTCTCCATAGTCTAGTGAGCGAAAATCATGACAACCCATACGTGGAGTCTTCAGAGCTCTCCTCTGAGGTCTTCAAAAGTCCCAACCTGCAGCTGTTTGTCTTCAATGAAAGCACGCTGGTGTCCTACCTGCAGATTCCTTCTGAGACCCCTACTGTTGGACAGCCCCCCCAACCTTCCTCCCAAGTGCGGGTCATTGTCCGGGACATATCGGGCAAATATTCATGGGATGGCTCAATCCTTTACTGCACCACCAATGAAGACTCTGATGACGTGGGAGTTTTTAATGAAGTTGATATCCCTGTATCAACTACCACAGCTGTCAGTCAAAGCGGGAACCAGCAGAACTCTCCAACAAAGGGGCTGTACAAAAGTAAATGCTCAGTGTCAGACTGCTTTGAGGAGGAAGAAGTAGATATTCTGGATAGGCTTTTGGAGGACCTGGGCCACAGCAGCCCAGAATGCTTGCCCCAGCCACAACTTAGGCTCAACCAGCCTGCCCCCTCACCCCATGGTATGAACCTGGAGCAAGAGAGTGCCATCCTGGAGGCCATTCTGCGTCAGACTCAGAGGGAGGAGGAGCAAGTGAAGAGGTGGGATGCTGACGTAAGCTTTCGGGCTGCCTGCCAGAAGGAACCATCCCACCAGGAACCAAAAGCTCCTTTCTACTTCTGTCGCCTGCTGCTTAATGACCTTGGCATGAATTCTTGGGACCGCAGGTACCTACCAACTAAAATTGGCTACGATCATTTGCCTTATCTGCACATAAGAGGAGTAAAGTGATAAAACAGGCAAAAAATAGTATTTAAAAAGTCATACAGAGTTATTTTGTGTATTTATATTCACTGTTGTCTTTATCATTTGTAAAACACATTTTAAATGTAGCAGAATTACCAGAGAAGAAGTGTAACAAAATTGTTTGAACATCGTAAGTCTATACTTGAACCCAAGTTACTTCCTTAATTTCCCAAGTATCGCAGCTGTATGAGCTGTTTACTCATTACTCAAAGACTGAAAAGCTGAAGTTAAAAGCACACTGGAGTCTGCAGTGTTCTAATCTCCTCTCCACAGGGTAAAGGTGCCCAGCTGTTTTCACTAAGGTCTTCCTCTCAGAGCCACATCTTTGCAGTGCTTCCCCGAAAATTAAAAGCTTACACCTCTTAATGGTGATGTTGCAACGTGCACACAGCTTGTAGGAGATTGCTTTTTGCACCTGTGCCCACTATGCCCCTGTTAATCTTGACTCCCCAAAAAATGTATTGTAGATAATGCTACTTTTTCAAACAGTTTTCATTGTTGCCACAATACCCATTTCCTGAATTGTGTTTTATGTACATAATTGGTATTATCATGTCTTAAAAAGCACTCTCTCTCAAACAGGAAAAGTTTCCATTTGTTGAAGAAAAACTCTAAACTCTTGAGAGAACTGAAGAACTTGGATTCCAGACAGTGGTAATTATTTATGTTATATCATGTTCATAATGTGTCCTGTGTCCGTCTTGTGATTTCTGTACATTCTCCTCCTGATCAAAGCCTTGGAAGTCTCCAGCTATCTCTCCTCCTGCCCACTCTTTCAGTTTCTCTCTATGTCCAATCAGTAAGTACTCAACATATCACAAATGACAAGACCTTATTCAAGAAAGTCTTGAGGATTGGACCTTATTCTCACAGATGGTCAGACTTGGTTTGGGCAATTACAAACTGTGTGCAAGCATGCAAAGTGTCCTCCATCTACTCCAGCATGATGTACTGCCATGGAAACAGGGAAAGTAGAGGGGGACTGCTACCTTTTTTAATCTTACTGAAGCTAGAGAGATAATTGAAAAATGTAAGAATTTTTAGTCGCATTCTGTTGTCCTGATTTTATTCATCTCAATTACACTTGCACACAATATTACCTTGCCAAGTAAGGTGTAGTGTTTTGAGTCATTGCATTTTCATGTCAAAGCTTTTTTAAGTGGCTGTCATTTATAAAATTAGCCCCCATTTTATTGTTCTTTTTTGATAATTTTTACTTTTTGTTTTGATCTGAAGCCGAGAGACTCACAAGATTGCAGTCTTTTACATCGGAGAGGGACAAGAGGACAAGTGCTCCATTTTGTCGAACAGCGCCGGCAGCCAGGCGTATGAAGACTTTGTGTCTGGACTGGGATGGGAGGTGAAGACAACCACACCCTCAAATGCACCCAAACAAGCTCTCAGTGTCCACAGTTGGCTCTCATTATTTCCACACAGGTATTCAGGCACACTCGGAACATACTAAATTCTACTTGTATTCCTCAGGTGGACCTGGCCACACATTGTGGCTTTATGGGTGGCCTACAGAGGAATGGCAGCACAGGTTTAACAGCTCCTTATTATGCTACCTCCACTGTGGAAGCTATCTTCCATGTCTCCACTCGTATGCCATCTGATTCTGATGACTGCCTCACCAAAAAGGTAAGAAGTCCTGTTTGTATTTATTATCTCTTTAACATCTTTAATTTTATATTCAGACAACCGCTACTTGTTTATGACATTTGAGTTATTATAAATTGTACTGAAAATTGCCCACCCAAAGTTATCAGGGTTAATCAAGGTAAGAGAGAAATTACTACTTTTCCTGATTGACGCAGTCAAATGGCTACACAGTCCTGCCTGACCATAGCAGTATGTTGATGTAGCTTTCAGCTTTGTGTTAAGCTGTGATCAGGAGGTGTGACTTCAGAGTGCGGGCATTGATTAGTGACCCCAGCCAGGCAGGCCTGAGGAGTAGAGAGTTGCAGGCGCGTGAGTGAAGAGAGGGCATGTGCCGTGGTGGTAATGACTGTGATTCTGCTAGCCCATGCACCCCTCCCTGCGGGCTGTGACCAGGGCCTGGATTCAGCCATTAGCTCTCCCTGCTAGGGCAGGCGCCGGCCGGATGCCGGCAGGATCCTTTTATCCAATTCCTGCTGCCGCCACAGGAGCGATCGATTGGGTTCTGCAGTGGGATTCTGAGCTGTAGTGCACCAGGAGCAGTTAGCACAAAGAAATGAGCTGCAAGGCCCCTGCCCGTGCTGCCAATCTTCTCATACAGAACCCTGCTGAGGAGGGAAATTCATCAGGCTCTCATCATATCCAGCCCCCCTCCAATCCTCTACAGATCTTCACTTCTCCATCTCATAAATAACCCCCTACATCTACAAAACCTATCTGGAACTACTCCTTAGAGACTGTCAAAATTAGACTGAGTAAAGATTTGGACGTCAGTCCTCCAGAAAGGTGCAGGAGGGGCTGCCATGCCAAGAGAGGAGTGTGCTGCAACTCCATTTCTATTCATTTCACCTGGAATTTCTGTCATTTCTGATGCTCACCTTGCACAGATCCACACACCAGCCATAGGCAACAAATAAATTGGCAGTCTGACTGCATGCACGAATGTTCATGAAAAAAAGATTTTGGGGCAGACAGAAGAGAAAGTGGTATGAAGAATTGGAAAGTGTTTTTTTCTGTGGGATGTTTCCCTGTTGTTAAAATGACACTTTTAGTCCAGCAGTCACCCTTTGCTGCCTGTAACCAAAGAGGCATACTGTGAGGGAGCAATGGATGGGGCAATTCTCGCTTGGCAGATTGCCTGTTCGTAGACGATTGTAGGGGAACGGCTAAACCAAAAAGACAAGACGGAAAACCATGAATTCCTCAATCCAATTGTGGGTTTTAGGGCAGTGCAGGCTGCAGCAGTAGCAGCTGGCTTCAGTAATTTGGTTATAGAAGTGACCTGCAGGGTTGGGGTCAGGCTGTGTAGACTGCATACGTGTATGTGCATCTTTGAAAGAGAGAGGGAGCTAGATAAATGTCTTGGCTATCACATTCACCCTCTGGCACTAAAGCTTAACTGGGCTGCTGCAGGTTGTTTTTTATAAGGGGGCTCTTGTGTTCTGGGGTCCTCTGGTCTCCTGTCTCCATGTGTGTGAAGCCCATTTGCTGAGTGGGAGGTCAAATAGGGCTAATTGGACAAGAGCCTTTGACTTGAATCACATTTTATTAAAGAAGTCTCAAACATGTGGATGTTAGTAACAAGGGAGTAAATAAATTGGTGCAGGAGATGATTGTCTTGAGCATAAGCATCCTCATTAAACTTTGATTAAGATCATCCAAATGCTAATATCTTAACCCAAATTAACATGTTGATTGTCTAGTGCAAATGCATATTCAACATTTTCTTTGAAATTGTCCCAGTGACTGACCTGCTTGGTACCTGCTGATCCTTGGACAGACAGACTGCACTGGCAGGCTTCGGTAATCAGCATGCCGTGGATTTGTTTAAGATTACGGTATTACCATAATTAAGGGCTTATAATAGAATGTGCTAATTGCATTTTTGGTGGCGAGGGCATGCTTCTTAATGGCTAATTAGGCCCACCGTACATTGGCGGATGTTTTCTTCTGAGTAGAGGCTCACTTTTCAGTGTCCATGATACCCCAGAAAACATCGCTGGACTACAAGCTTATAAGCTTATAAGTGATCTACCTAGGGAATATTATGTAGCCGTGTCCTTCCATTTTACTTTGGTAAGAGGAAAGCTGTTTACCTATTTCAAACTAGCATCAGCAATTTCCTGTCGTTTAAGTGTATTTTCCTTCCTTGCCTAGTTTCATTTGTGTCTGTGAATAGGGTGGGAATTGGAAGCAATTTAATCTCTGATGGGTAAAGTTAATTGGATTTGAATTATTTGGTTTTAAAATGCTCAATTTCGTGCATTTTGTGTTTGCAATTTGAATTTATAATGAAAAGGCTATAAAAATAGTCAAAACCAGTGCCTGGACATGTATTTTAACCATTGTTTTCAAACTAGGTTTGATTTAAATTACCAACTCAGCTTTTCCTTCCACCTGCTACATTTGTGTTTCATCCTTTTAATACATCAACAGTGCTTGCATCGAAAGAAACATGGTAAAATGCTTTTTGATGTACGTACTGACAAATTTCACTAACTGCATTTTTATATATATTTATGTATTGGCAACTTATCAATTAGCAGTATATTGTAGTACATTGTAGAAGTATCAGGCAACACCTTCTTTATACCTCTTAAACCTCAGTTCACTCCAGAGATGATCAGGGCTGCCTGGAAAACCAATAAACATGCCCTAATCTCACTAAATTTGTGTTCTAGTCATCATCACCATAGCAATGGAAATTACCTGCACTGGCCAGCCTCTTGATTAGGTTGATTTTGTTTGTTTGGCAGCTGCGTCACCTGGGAAATGATGAGGTGCACATAGTGTGGTCAGAGCACACCAGGGACTACCGACGTGGCATCATCCCAACTGACTTTGGCGACGTGCTGATAGTCATCTACCCAATGAAGAACCACATGTTTTTTATTCAGATCATGAAGAAACCACAGGTAAGTCATGACAGCCAGTAGATTTTACTCAGACTGTTGGCAACTAGAGGGTTATAGGAAGGGTGAACTAACGTGTATTACCAATAAGTTACTTTAATTGGCTTTTTATTCAATTTTATTTGAATTCTTATTATTTATTTTTTTCTACCTTATTTCCAAGAACCATAAAGGCTAGATCCAACACTGCACTTATTTTAAGTCCTTTTTCTGGAAGCAGCTCCTTTCTCATATTTCTTATTCACTTTTTGCAGCGTATTGTCTTGTTTTCTCCTCTTGTGGTTTTAATGTAAATAGTCTGAAGTGTCCCCTGTCCCTGCAATGCATAATTACCCACACTGTGGGTCTGTGCTTTAGAAGTGGTTACTATCCTCCTTTTGCTAGCTTTAATCTTCGATCCTCATGGGAGCCACTTTTACATAACAATTCTGCAACAAAGTGTAAAGAAGCTCCTTCGATACTCCGCCTCTGTTTTTTAACACTGAACCCCAAAAGGTTGTAATAATAGTTTTATAAAAAACTTGATTGAGCACTGTCATTATGTGAATGGAGATCACACCACTGACTTGAAAATTCTACCATGTTAACTTGTTGCAACTCCACAAACTTGTAAAGTTAATTCAAGTTGTTACTTTACACAGTGTCAAAAAAAGTTTTCTGGCTTGTGATTAACTTCATTGGTCTGTATCATTTCTGGTTAAATCCACTCTGTGCTTAATTTGACTGGTTATTATTCAAGCTGAACTACCAAGTTGTAGACAGCAGGACCTTTTGGAGAGACTTTGACATTCACGTCAACTTCCAGGTCAACGACCATTGAGCTTCAGTGATTAAGGGCCCGATTCCAATATGCATGAACAGGCGCGTGTACCCACACACACACTCACGGGCTGCTGCTAAAATGCATATTGCCCCTTTGTATTTGTTCGGTAGAGCATTGTTTAGTATTGATTGTCATTTTAATTTCATTTACCTAACATTGATTTGCATTATATATGTGTGGTTGTCATGCAAAGTTAAGTAAAAATCCAATTTCAACTTGAACCCTTGGCCCAAACAGATGGATAAACGGTAAAAAGAAAAGAAAAGAAACACACAATCAGAAGAATCAACCTCTTTACAATAAAAGGAGCCTAAACAAAACAACTTTGGATCAATTTGAAAGGTTTGATGTGTCCTTATTTTTTCTGTATTTTTTCTTAACTTCCCCAGGTTCCTTTCTTTGGGCCTCTGTTTAATGGCGCCATTATTACTGGGAAGCTGCTGCCAAGCCTGGTGCGGGCCACCTGTATCAATGCCAGTAGAGCTGTCAAGTCCCGACTGACACTCTACCAGAGCTTGTATCCTTCACTTACAATGCCTTCTGCTTCATTTTGTGTTTGCTACCCTATACAGGAATTACTTTTTGACAGAAAAATGCAATTTAAAAAAAAAGTCAACCACTGGTTACATTACAGCTGAGCCCATTAAGGCTTTGAGCTCACATTTAGAGCCATTTTTTTAAATGGTTCCATTAAATGTTTAACACAACTGATCTTTAATTTTCAGCACCACCAGTGGCTCATTTGGGTAAATTCATTGAGACATGTGGCGTGGTTGTCACGTCAGCCAGCGTCCTCAGCTGAGTGCTGACGCTGATCTTTATGGGCTGGCTGATTTACATACAGCTATTAGGCTGAGGCTGTTTCACAGCCTGGAGCATCATGGGAGGTTATGTGGAGCTGTTTTGAGCAGAGGCACTGATAATGTGTCATCATCTATCACTACTGTTTTATGGAGCGCAAGGAGAGCCAAAATGAAACATCGTCAACAAATACAAGTGCATACATGCACAATCACACAAACAAATATACACCCTAACTCTCATCTCTCCACCCATCCATCCAACGGTGTGCCGTTAAGAGCATGACTCCAGCTGTAGTTGTCAGTTGGTTTAAAGGGAGTGTAATCACCAATGGAGATGAATTAGCATGTGAATGCCAGCAGCAAAGAGTTGGGGGGTAAGAGGAGGGGCAGAGTCAGGATGGCCCCTGGAGGGGGAAATCTGATATCCCACATCGCCCCGCTCCTTCTCGGACAGCATGTACAGCAACGCCTCACCAGAACCACGCTGCCCCTCTGGTTGTTGCTATAGGAACCTCCCTCAAGGAAGTTCAATTTGGTTGACAGAGTATGTACTGGATTTAAGAAATTTACATTTGTAAAAACTGGTTTTAAACTGTATCTAAAACATGATAGCATTGTCTGTTACAACCAAAGAAGCTTTCTGTCTTTAATTACACAGGGGTGTATGGTGTTTACAGTTGTGTGTGCAAGTATGTATGTGCCTGTATGCTTTTCACAGTGCATCACATACACTGCCCCCCCCTCCCCCCCCCCCCCCCACCACCACCGTGTATCAGGCCCTGTCTGTGTGTCCCTGAGGGCATCCTGAGTGACAGATGTCTGTTACCCGACGCCAAGTGAATTAGCCCAGTGTGACTCTCAGTGCCAGAGGGGGGGCAGAGACAGGGCTGCTCGTCTCTGTGAGCCTCAGGGGGCGGGGGGGGGGGGGTTTGGACAGTACTGGACTTGTGGTGGGCCACAAAAGCCTTACCTGGCATTCCTTAGCAGAGGAGCAGACAACACAAAGGCATGATCTATGAGAGGAGATAAGCGCTGCCTCTGGACTTCTGGCACTGATAGGCAGCCAGGCCTCACACACTCCAAGAGAGGAGATGAATAAATGTGCCAGCCAAAGCTCGCTGCCAGCATTAGTATCTGTTTCTTTCCCGCTGTTTGTCTACCTAAGTAGAGAGGTTGTAAGGATAGACATACTATGTCAACTATTTAAAGTATTGTTGTGAGTACTCTGTTAGGTGAAACTTCAAAGTTAAGAGAATTGTTATCAAAGAATTTCCTGACTGAGAAAAAATCCAGCGGAGGCATGAACCTGAAACAAAACAGAATCTTTGTGGCAGGTGGTGTTGTTTGCACCAGCCTTTCGAACTCTTCACTCTCCAGTTGTCATTCTTCCAGCTTATGGGGGTATTTATCTGTCACAGGATGGAACAATGACCCAACCTTTTTTATGTGTGTGTGAGGATTTTTCGTGCTTTATGAAAATCCTCATCCTCAGTATACCCCTTCACAATGCCTCAACAATCCACAGTCTGCTCTCTGCCTGTGAGGCCACTCTCCAAGGTAATTAGTTGAATATTTCTTCAAAGAAGGCTATATGACCCCTGTGTGTCCAGATAAAAGGCCAGTATGGCACTGTGGCTCCTTCTCCCGCTCTGTCACAAGGCTCGAGAGGACTCCAGCAGTTTGCTGCAACAATCAGAGTATCGCTCAGGCTAATAGGATTTGATATTGAAAAATGACCGCTCTGAACATTTAAAAAAAATACATGTACAGATAGGCTATGAGTGTAGGCCATTTTCCTCATCACATATTCTTTCTCTATCTCCCTTTTCTTCGTCTCTGATTTCAGTTTAGTTTAATTTAAGCTTTTTTAGACTGTCTCCATCTCTCATTGTCAGTTTGAATTTGTGTCAATTCCTTCTGTCAAGATTTCACCATGGCCTCATGGACATCATATCACAAGCCTTTCACAGACAACTCATAATGTATCATCTATTATTTACGTGCCGGATGGAAAATGCGGCTGGTCTGGCTTTGTTCTAAGTGCAGCTAGTCCACTCTTCACTTCCACATTTTAAATTTTAACCACAAAATGTTCAAGCTAAACCAATTTTATATTTTATCCAACCACCATTCCAATTACCGATTCATCAGCAACAAAGTAGAATAATTGAATAATTGTTTCTCTATTAATGGTACTTATCGCTGCATGCAAAATAACATATTGACTTAAAGGAGACAGTGAGTTTGTTTGTGTCGCCCAAACTCAGCCTCTCTCTGGATTTGTTTACTGTCTGCTGTAAGATGAATGATGAAGATCCTTCATATTGTCACTGACCTAATGTATTTATCCACAAGCTGGGATTCATCTTTCTCTTCATATACACTTGAGTTTGATGTGGCTTCCATCACTCTTAGGGGATATTGTTAAGTGGTGTGTGTGTGTGTGTTTTTTTTTGGAGAGGCTGCAAGTTTCTAATAGGTGAGACAGTGAGGAACTGACCTTGATTCAGAGACACAGCCTCCCTACTGGATGGAATCAATAGTTTTTGCACACTGCCCTTAGTCCCAATCCTCTGTACTGACACACACACACAAATCCATCTCCAGGCTACAATCAATAACCATAATCTGTTTCTGCCCATCGCCAGTCATGCGAGCCAGGCTTTTAGGTATTGTATATGTGTGTGTGTGTGTGTGTGTGTGTGTGAGAGAGTTGTGCAGTAGCAAAAAAAAAAAAGAGAGAGAGCCTAAATCTTTTTAGGGGAACCCAGAAAGTTGCTGAAGTCATCCATGTTTTGATGCTTATGTGAGCATCTCTACAGTCCCCCACCTTCCCCGTTCACCAAAACGAGATGTACATAACTTCAATGGATGTCTGCTGAAAAACCAATGGACGTTATATATATATGACATCCTGTGTTCAGTCTTTTGTGTGCTGTAAAGCCCCCCCACCCCACCCACCCCATAATTATTGCAGTCACTGCATTGACAATGACACATTCTCACACCCCTTCTGAGCAACTTATTGTCCCACTCTCACTGTGTCTTTGTTGAAGAGCAGTGTGTTCTTTTGTATACTGTAAGATTCTTTACCTAGCAGAGATGAAAGTGCGCCTGTATGCATGATAGGATGTCATGAATAGGATCTGCCATGTTAGTGTTGTCTCACATGAATTATTTAGCATCACTGATAGGTCTAATTTGCCAGCTGTTGTGCCATAACTGTCGGCAGTCTCATAGATAATACTCAGCAGCCTATATCAGTGTGGAACACAGTGCTTGACTGGGCACAGTGAGACGCCAAACCTGACATTATTTGCTGGATTCACGTAATGGTCTGAGCTGCTTTGAGTAAAACTAGCCAACTTCCTGTTTATGTAAAACATGGCTGACCACATAAGGGTGGAAAATATGTTGCAAATAATACCAAGTAAATCTTCAATTGAGGCTAAGAAATCACCATACTTGTCGCACTAAAGTGTATTTGTATTACTGACTCAACCTTTTAGTTGGGGGTTGGTGAGGAGGCCAATTCTGACTTTGAGTGTACTTTCTTGAAGTGGCCTGGTTTGGGTGAAGGCTGGCATTGGCTTTGATGGAGCGGGTGTGAGTTCACACAGTATTTTAGGGGCTACACAGAGAGAAGGGGGTGTTGTCCCTGGCCCCCCTCCTCACCGAATGTTTTAACCTAATCCCATTATCAGTGTAGCGCACTGCCTCCCATCTTTTTCCCCTCCTTATCCCTACCCCCTCCCGCCCTTCTCTCCAGCTGACCAGCTGTTCCTGCAGGGATTCACGACAATGTCGATGTGTTCAGATCACTGAGTACCCCCAGTCCACCCCACCAACCCCCCAAACTCGCATAGAAATACACACAGCGCAGTCCGTGCACAACCAAAGCAATTGCCTGTCCCAGTGCTTGGGCTCAGGAAGGCCGAGAGGGAGGAGGGTGTTAGTTGGGGAAGAAGGGGGTAGCTCCAGGGGTGAGGAGAGGGTGAGGAGGGGGAAAGCACAGGCCTGTCAAACCAAGAGCCCTGACTCAGGAGGCAGTTCAGCTCGGATGGCATATGGCGTCTAGCTTCATACAACATGCAAAAGTATTCTCTCCCTTTGCCCCCCCCCCCTGTCTCCCTCCCCTGCTGCTCATGCAGAATGACTCATAGCATTACTCATTTTTTTTCTCCATCCCCCACCCCCCAACATCAGTTCCTCCTCCTCCTTGCCACCCAGCCTGTAACAAAAGGCGTCCGCTGCATGGCACCAACACCCTGAAAGCCCTGGAGGCCCAGCCCATCCCTGCCTGCACTCTGAGGTCTGAGCCGTATGGGCGCTGCCCCTTTTAAACACAGGTAGAGCAGGCGTGGAACCAGACGGCCAACAGCAGGGACCCAGAGCCCCGCCTGGGGAAGTGTACACACACTGCTGGTGTCAAACTGTTGTGCCAGTTAGTGAAATTGTGAAATTGTGAATTTGTGTACCTATATAGAAGCTGCTTCCATTCTAATATGCCTCTGCCATTACAAAGGCTATTATTTATTAATTAAAAAAAATTAAACCACAATGATAAAAAAGGAACTTTTTTATTTATTTTTTCTTAAATTGACCTTTAAATGTTGTTTAACCATGCTGTGTCACATTGTGGCCACTTAGGAAAAATCTGCCATTTCTTCCAATTATAAGCTCATTAGATTCGATTCCTACAGGTATATCAGCA